CTACTTTATATGTGGGACGCCTACCACAGCATGGCTTGACAAGCGGTGCCATGTCCACACCCAGGATCTGAACCAGCAAACCCTGGGCCGCCGAAGCAGAAGTGCGAACTGAACCACTGCGCCACCGGACCTGCCCCTCTGAGATACATTTTTGCTTCCATGGTCACTTCTGTCTTTGCGTGAGCCTGCTGGAGGTCTGACTTTTATGAAGATATCTTATATGCTGAACTTCAGATATCTCTTAGAAGAATAGGAAATATCAGCTTTTTATTTTGCTGAATTTTCTGTCCTAGGCTGTTCTTAAATTCTTGTTATATATTGCTTACGGTGCATTTTAAATTGTCACAGAACTTTTGGGGAAGGAGTCCACACATTACTTCTTAAAAGTGCAAAAGAAAAATAGCAGACGCAAATCCCCATGCCATACCTACCAAGAGATATTACATAGAGCTCTGATCGGTTTTAATAACATTCTTTTCTAGTTTCACCTTGAGCACTGAGGAGTGTATTGTTCCAGTCACTTCTGAGAAAAAATAATGGGACTATTCAATTCTGCGTTGTTTTGCTACATACGTCACAATGTCTTATTAATAGTTAGCTTGGTGTGGCCAAATGGTGTGAGAAGGTTAGGTGGCTGCCACCTGATTTCTGCCAATACCAGAAGGAGACGGCACTTTTTCTGGTAATGTGCGTTCATAAGCATTCAGATGTAGTGGTAAAGAAAGCAGGGGCTAGGGAGGCAATATATTTGTCTTTCGAGTCATGATTATTGATGGGAAAAAGAGGAGAAAAAAGAAAGGGAAAAGAATATGACGTTTTTCAAGTTTTTGCTCAGATAGGGCATTTGTTTTAGCAAATAGTGTGCTTCTACCTAGCTTTGGCTCACAGACAGACTTAGCAGTATGCAAATAGGCATCTTTTAAGGAACATTACCGGTTATACTGGTGAGGGACTTTTAAGCTCTTTCCCTATAATAGTCATGAGGATGATCTTGTCTAGAAAAATTTCACAAGAATGACTCTATAGTGAAAGGTGGCGTTACATGTCTGAGGAGAAAGAGAAGGGTAATTGTGGATAGGATAGTGACCTCCTTGCAGGGACATAAGAAATCATGATTTTAAAGCCTTTCATTTTTCTTTTTTTAAAGATTGGCACCTGAGCTAACATCTGTTGCCAATCTTCTTTTTTTCTTTCTTCTTCTTCTCCCCAAAGCCCCCCAGTACATAGTTAAATATTCTAGTTGTAGGTTGTTCTGGCTCTGCTATGTGGGATGAATCCTCAGAATGACTTGATGAGTAGTGCTGGGTGCGCGCCCAGGATCAGAACCGGCAAAACCCTTGGCTGCTGAAGTGGAGCCCACAAACTTAACCACTCGGCCACCAGGCTGGTCCCTCATTCTTCTTTTAAAGAACGGTTATTGGATATCCCACACCTGTTCTGCCACTCCTTACATCTGTGCCCTTCTGAAAATGGAAAGATTTTCCTCAACAAAACAAACTTGAACTGACTGACATGGCTATTTTTAGTTTTTATTTCAGTGTGAACTTTTTTATGTTTTGCTGCAGAAATATCAATATACTTGATAATGGGACATTGTCATAGACCCTGCTAGGGGTGTCAGATAATACATGGTACATGCTGGTATTACTTTTTCAAAATTAGCCAATTTTGAATTATGAAACATCTGACCCCCAAAGGTTTTAAATAAGGGATCATGGAACTATAGTGTATAGTTTCCATGGAACCCCACAGCGCCTCCCTCAAAGATTCTGGATTGGAGCCCGGAATCTATTGTCCTAATCAGTACTGTAGGTCAGTTTTTTAGCTTGGAAAGTTTGGAAAATAGAACCTTTAGCTGAATTGCTGACTGCTCATCCACTGGTTGACCATAATTACTTCTTAGAAGCTAGTTTTCCTACTTCTAGCCTCTCCCACTCCATTTCCTTAACTCTGTCTTCTGAATAAAAAGTTTTTTTTTTTAAAGCTGCCATCTTAAAGAGGTGGAATTTAGGAGACCTCAGTTCTAGCAGTTATTACTCTGCCTGCCACTAGCTGTGCAGCCATGAGTGCACTGCTTAGCCTCTCTGTGCCTCAGTTTCCTCACCTATAAATAGAAGTATTAAACTGGGTTTCAGATTATACCTGTATGCTCATATTACTCCATTACTCAAAGAATAGCAACTATTTGTTAGAAATAGAGTCTGTTAGAAAATACCCATAGTTTCTTTCTTCCTTTGTGGGTGACATTAATTATATTGATAGAGTGTGTCATACTTCGTTGGAATGCCAGAAAGATAATGTTCTGGCCGTTAATATGGACTTAAGAAAACAAACCTAAACAACTTATTTTTGAAAAGGTGATACTTGCACTTAGTAAGAACTTTAAAAACATGCAACATATATATTGGAAAGTATCCTCCTTCCACCTCGACTTTCAGTTCCTTTTCCCAGAGGCAGCCACTGTCCCCAGTTTCTTGGGTATCCTTCCAGAGATTACCTATGCATTTATAAGAAGATGCAACTTGAAACTTTTCAAAAAAATATATAGGAAAGACAGGTAATTACTGTAGCGAACACAAACAGAAAATGGTCTGAGAGCGCTAAAATCCTCATCATGATAGGTAGTTAATAGATGATGTTCCAAATTTATGGAAACAAGAGAAGCAATTAGTTTTTAAAAGGATGAGAGTAAATACCAGAAGAAGTAGCTAAAAGACACAAAAATGATTGCTGGAGTTGGCCTGCCGTCACCAGGATATTGCTGGTTTTTCTCACATGTATCTCTTAGCTCTATGTGTATATAATATTTCAAGGGAAATAAAAATTAATTTAAAAAGGAAAAAAGTAGAAAATACGAGTAAACAAGATGAAACAATATTGCGTAGTGTTATAGCCCCAGATGTAACCACTGACATATTTAGTTTATTCTCTTCCAGTTATTTCTATACTTCTTTTTTAAATTTTTTTAATTTTTTTAAAAGATTTTATTTTTTTTTTCCTTTTTCTCCCCAAAGCCCCCCAGTACATAGTTGTATACTCTTCGTTGTGGGTCCTTCTAGTTGTGGCATGTGGGACGCTGCCCCAGCGTGGTTTGATGAGCAGTGTCATGTCCGCGCCCAGGATCCGAACCAACAAAACACTGGGGCGCCTGCAGCGGAGCGCGCGAACTTAACCGCTCGGCCACGGGGCCAGCCCCTATACTTCTTTTTTTAATTTTTAAGAAAAATTGAAAGATCTTACACACACTCAAAAAGATAAATATGTGAGGTGTTGGATGTGTTAATGAATCCGTTGGAATTCTTTCACAAAGGATACGTATATTAGATCATCACGTTGTATGCTTTAAATATCTTAGAATTTTATGCATCAGTTATACCTCAATAAAGCTAAAAAAAAATTGAGAGTAGTACAGCAAACACCTGTAAGCTACCACATAGCTTCAACAATTGTTAACATTTTGCCATATTTGCTCTATATGTAATTATGTGTGTGTGCATATATATAAATTTTTTTCTGACTCACATGAAGCGAGTTGCAGATATGACAGTTCATCCCTACCTACTACTGCTAGCTGACTCCTACTAGCACACATCTCCTACGAATAAGGACAGGGTCCTACATAACCCCCATAGTATTGTCACACCTAAGAAAATTAACCCTAGTTTTCTAGTATCATTTAGTATTTAAGACAGGGGCTGGCCCAGTAGTGGTTGGGTGTGTGTGCTCTGCTTTAGCAGCCAGGGTTCAGGTTCTAATCCCAGGCACAGACCTACACACTGCTCATCAAACCATGCTGTGGTGGAGTCCCACATGCAAAGTCGAAGACTGGCATGGATGTTAGCCCAGGGACAATCTTCCTCACACCCACAAAAAATTTGTCATATTGAGTTTCCTCAATTGAGCCCAAAATGTCTTTTATAGTTGGGATTTTTTCTTATATCCATTTTGTTCTTTTAAACCAAGATTCAGTCAGAGTTTGTGCATTACATTTGGTTGTTATATCTCTTTAGTCCTTTTTAATCTAGAACAATCTCTCACCTTTATTTTCATGACATTGAACTTTTGAAGACTAGAACAGTTGTCTTGCAGAATGTCCACATGCACATATATTTTTTAAAATAACAAGAATGACCTTACTCGTACATATTTTTGAAACTTGTTTTTTTCACTTTACAACATTTTATGAATGTCTTTTCAGTTCCGCATTTTCAGTCGTACATACAAGGCTCTCCATATCTGAGCTTAACATGCTTTTGCACATTTCTTCCAGTGCTCTCCAGCACCGTCTTTTCATTCCTTGACCTCTCTGCCATGGTGTCCAGTCATCCTCTTTATTTTTACCCATGGTCCACCCTTAGACCAACACAATTAGCTCACATTATTTCCCTCACTTGAAATGGCTTTCTGGTATTGTATCTGGTTATTCATGCCACAGAATTTTAGTTTGTTGAGTAGTGGAAATTTAGTAAGACAGAAGGCTGGCCTTCAAGTCCTAACTTTGTGACTGACAAGCTGTATGACTTTGGCAGTCATTTCCTCTCTCTGAGACTAAATTTCCTCAACTATAAAATGAGGGGTGGAGTTAAAAGTCATTGAATAGCCGATGATTATCAAAGGATAAGTGTTGTAGAAAAGTAAGTACTCGAGTTCAGAAGTGGAGGTATATTCCTCTTGGCTGGTATGTATCATGGGTGTGATTGAATTTAAGCTGAATGGTTGTAAAGCCCACATAAAACAACTTATGTGGCAGGTTCTGAAAATTATAAGTTATTATATAAATATAACACGTTTAACAAACAAAATGGAGCGGGATACTTTGGGCGAGAGAAGGAGGGCTCTTCCGGGATGCCGATGGTGGGATTAGTACAGCATTTTACAGAGTGTCTCAGAACGTCAGCTGTCCTAATAGGGCTACTTGAAACTTTAAGTTGTTACTACTCTCAGTTGCTTTCTTGGTGGGGATAATTATGGATCTGATCTCTTCTCTTTTGTTCTTACAGCTCTATTATCAAGTCCTAAATTTTGGAATGATTGTCTCCTCGGCACTAATGATCTGGAAGGGATTAATGGTCATAACTGGAAGTGAAAGTCCAATTGTAGTGGTGCTCAGGTAACAATTAATTTTTCTTTTCAAAGCATGGAATTGCCTGGCATTACTTGGGAGAAAAATTGAGATATTGAACAACTGTTGTATCATTCCTTTATAATCTAATCTTTCCCAGAAGAGGGCCTGGAAGAAAATTAGTTGCTATTTCTCAATTGTGAGAAATTCTCAACCTTGTTAGGCACTTTCCTTTCAGACCCCAAAGGGCTCATGACTTTTCTATAAAATGTTTACTATATGAGCTTTATTTTTGGCACGTCTCTTAAGAAAGTCTTTCAATGTACTTTATTTTCCAGAAATTCTTCTGTTTTCTTACACACTTTGCTTTGATACATCAGGATTGATATTTAGTTGTTTGTTTGTTAGATTATATATCATCTCCATGAATTGAGTTTTTCTGCAGCATGTTCATTTTCTGCAGAAGCATCACTAATTATTTCCATGTTTCCTGCTGACCTTTAAATATCACTTCTAAATAGACTTCAGGAGTTTTGAAAGATATTAATGCCATCTCTTAAAGTGACAAATAATGCTGAATTTTTTCTCCACCAAATTTTCTTCCCTAATCTGGTACTCATACTCTTAGTGATTTAAAAACCTAATTTAGTAGCTCATTTTTGGATAATTACCACTTGGTTATTTAATTGAATCATTATAGTTCTGTCTTATTTTGGGCTTAATTATGTAAGCTGTCTCAAGTCTTTTCTGGAGATAATAGAGTGTAAATATAAAATAAATGCAATCATTAACGTTACCTAGAGTCTGGATAATAGTACATTACTCTTGACAAGATGAATTTGACTCCTTCTTTGTCATTACTAGGATATACTTCCAGTAACAAGTGATTGGAGGCACTGGATCTACAGTGTCTTGTACCTTACTTGTACTGTTACTCATACCTTAGTTCTGTCTTTATTAATGATCAAATTCGACTGTAATTTTAGAGATCCAAAGAAATGTGTGGATTTTATTAGCTAGGAAAGCATGAATAATGTACTGCTCTGGGAGAATAGAGACTTGGGTCTCTAGCTGTTTCATGTCTAACTATAGCCTTGGGCAAGCCCCCTATTCACTGAACCATAGTTTGCTCATCTATAGAATGAAGTGTAGACCTAGATGATGTCAGAAGACCTTTCCCATTCTAAAATTATGTGGCCCTGAGTTCTCAGACAGTCTTGAGTTCAGTGGAGAGCTTCAGTTTGTGAAGTGTTTGAACCTTAACAGAAGGAGAAGCCACACTAATTGGCGCTTTGGGGAAAGGTATGGAGCGAGGGTCCAGGAGGGCTTTTGGTGATTCTTCTGGGATTGTTTCAGATTGAGTTCCCTTCAGTGGAGATGTTTATGGACAATCTAATGACCTTTAAACTGGGGGTGTTGGAGTGAGCAGGGGACTAGACTAAGGATCTGCTCAACACATGGATAGTCCTGAAAATAGTCCAATTTGCTATAGCTGGAAAATTTGTGATATCAGTTGGGATTTAAAAGTGGTATTTGGCTAAGTTATTTGGTAGGTAGGTTGTTTATATACTAAGCTTTTCTGATTGCCAGTGTGGAATAAAAAAAAGAACTTGAGAGACCAGGACATATTAGAAGAGAATTTGGTCAAGCCTGGAAGGAACAGTCCTTAAAGAAAGGTAATTTACGTGATTGGGTGGCCAAGTAGGTGTTGCCTGGCTAGGGTTTCTTGTAACTTCAAGGGATCTAATTTTTCCCTGGAACCAAATATGCCTCAGAGGACTCAGGCCACCTGAGAATCTGCTTTTAGGACTTCTGTGAAGCCATTGGGGGTAAAGACAAATACTTTCTTATTATTTATTTTATTAACTGAAGTTTCGGGGAACATTCAAAACTGGTTTTTTCCTCTTTATATAACTGAAGTCAGTTTAAAAATATTTAAATGGTTTGTATATATCTTATAAAATTTACCATGATTGGTGTATTAAATTTAAAAGTATAGTTTAATCAGATAATAATGTTTACTAATAGTTATTTAATGTTTAAAAATTTTCCCCTGGTTTATTTAACGGTCCTCTCACTACACACTTTTATCTGTTTTTGATTGCCATCTATATCTGAACATTTAAATCTTTTTCTTTCTCATCCAACTTTCTTCCCTGAAGTCTAGACTCTTGTTTTCACCCTACACTGAACATCTCCATCTGGATGTTGACTAGGTACTTGAAACTCCATGTAATGAAAGTGAAATTTATCTCCCTTTCCCACAAAACCTGTTCTTTCTCCTATTTCTGTGACTGTCACTGCCATCCGCTCAGTTGCCAGTGTTAAAAATCCAGGAGTTGTTTTTGATCCCCTCTTGTGTCGTATCCAATTGGCCATCAGATTTGTTATTTTCCCTCTCTCTATTCTACCCTTTTATAGTTGTTCTCCCTGCTGTTCTGTTTCAAGCCCTCATCATTTCCTGCCTAGGCTGCTATAGTGACCTTTAAAAAAATGCTTTTATAATCAGAAAAAAGATAATATATTTTCGTTATATGAAATGTTGAAATCACACAAAAAATCTAGATGAAACTAAGTTACCCATAGCTCTGGGATGTAATCACTATTAATATTTTAGTCTCTTTTTTCAGGTATATTATTTCTTACGTAATTGAAGTAATTCTATTCGTGCATCCTTTTCTCAATTTTTTCCCCTTATTCTCCTGTTTTCATGTTTTTAATAACACTTTTAATAGTTGCCAAGTATTTAATTATAAGTAATAGCCTGGAGAACTGGTCTCCCAATCTACTTTTTATCTTTTCCAGTTTACTTATTAATTCAATAAATATTTGAATGTCTTCTATATACTCTAACTTTTGACTTGGTGTTTCTTAAATGCAAGTATGATTATGATACTCCATGCTTAAAATTCTTGAGTGGCTCGGAGGCACTTTAGCACAGAGAGAGTGGATCCTGCTGTACATCTTTGGTGCAAATCTCACCTTTGTCATTTTTTTGATTTATAACTTTAGGGCTTTCTAAGCCTCGGTTTCCTTATCCATAAAGTTGCGTTAATAATAGTACCTACATCATAGAGTTGTTCTGAAAATTGTTTAAAAAACCCCAAAAACTTAGAATAGCACTTCGCATACAATAAGTGCTCATAAAGAAGAGTCATTCAACCAGAGCAACTCAGCTTTTACCTGTTTTATTTATATAATTTTCAAACAAGGTTTTATTTGAACAAAGGATGTCACTGATTTTAATAAATCCATCAAAGTAAAAACTTGAAAACTACATATCTAGGATAACTTCTATGATATTTTCACCAAACACATCCTGTCTTCCTTCGGATCACTTTCTGTAAAAGGGAACTCTTTGCCCCATGAGGAACTTTAGCAAAAGTTTTAAGAATAAATATATACTGAAAATCCATGTTCCTTGTGGTTCCCAAATTTTGATATATATTAGAATCACCTGGGATCTTTACAAAATACTGACGCCTGCCTCCCATCCCCAGATATTCTAATTTAAATGGATTGAGGGCCGGCTCCATGGCCAAGTGGTTAAGTTCGTGTGCTCCACTTCAGCGGGCCAGGCTTTCCCCAGTTCGGATCCTGGCCATGGACCTAGCACCATTTGTCAAGCCATACTGAGGCAACATCCCACATGCCACAACTAGAAGGACCCACAACTAGAATATACAACTGTGTACTGGGAGGATTTGGGGAGAAGGAAAGAAAAAACTTTAAATGGTTTGAGATATGACCTTAGCAGTGGGATTTTTTTAAAAGTTCCCCAGGTCATTGTAACGTGCAGCAAAGTTTAGGAGCCAGGGCCTGCCCTGTGGCTGAGTGGTGAAGTTGGCACACTCCGCTTTGGCAGCCCAGGGTTTCGCTGCTTTGGATCCTGGGTGTGGACATGACACTGCTCATCAGGCCATGTTGAAGTGGCATCCCACATGCCACAACTAGAAGGACCCATAACTAAAATATACAACTATGTACTGGGGAGATTTGGGGAGAAAAAGCAGGAAAAAAAAGATTGGCAACAGTTGTTAGCTCAGGTGCCAATCTTAAAAAAAAAAAAAAAAGTTTGGGAACCACTGCCATATTCCCTTATGTAGAAGGACCAAAGTCTTCAAACAGAAGTGTTTGCACTTTGTAGTTATTCTGTATTGAATTTTATTCCCTGTCGATCCATTTTCTTCTTACTAAATCTACTGTAACTGAAAACTGGAGCTTGAGTTTCTGAAAATAGTACTGATGGGTTACTTCTTCATAGAAAGAAAAAATTCATTAAATAGTGCAAATATCTTAGACCTTTGAAGTACTTGGTATAAGGTAGAACAGGTGAGAGGTGAGATGACACTGTAGAAGTTTGTCCTCACTAATTACCATGGAATTGAATCCTTTTCTCATTTCTGAAATTCTTAGGCAAGAATGTCTGCTCTTGTCCTTGGGTTTCTTTCTTGTTTCTCCTTTAAAAATAAATAAATAATTAAAGTGGTAGCACAAGCATTATCTCCGTAGCTGACTATTCTTTGACTTGAGGAGCTGTTTTTCCTTCTTAATGGGTTGAAACTATAAGGTCATCTTGGTCTGTATCTTTGTAAATGGCAGAAGATGATGATCCAGCTCTCATTTGAATATTTGAATATGTTTAGCGTTTTCAGATGAAGTGAGAATAAGGGCAGTGACTATAAAGTTCATTCTTTTATATTCTATTTGTCACTTGAAATTTTAAAAGGTTAAGGAATTTAGTAACATTGCCCTTTTCAAAATTTAAGCTCCTTTGAATAGTAATGCTTGAAATGGAACTAGTTAGTGAAAGCTAATAACTAAAGAAAACTTTAATATAACTCAGTCTGAGGAAACCATATTTAGAGAACAGTACACATTTATGCTGATATATTTGTTAAGGTATCTCATATACTCCAAAGGTGATACTTTTGATTGTTTTGTGGAATATCTAATTTTGAAAGTAAATTTAATCTCAGGCTTTCTTTTTACTCTTATATTCTTCTTTCCCTCCCAGTGGCAGCATGGAACCTGCATTTCATAGAGGAGATCTTCTCTTTCTAACAAATCGAGTTGAAGATCCCATACGAGTGGGAGAAATTGTTGTTTTCCGGATAGAAGGGAGAGAGATTCCTATAGTTCACCGAGTCTTGAAGATTCATGAAAAGTATGTGCAAACTATATCTTCTCTGTTTTAAAATATTTTTATGCTTTATTTTTTACAGTATTTAATTTTGATAACCTAAAGATTAAGAAAGGGTGGGGAACTCCTAGGTCCCTCTTCCAATCCATTTTTATGAATGTCTGAAGGTTTGGTGAACATTCGGAAAACCAAATAGTTATTAATTTATTTATATCCCTGAAGGTTTTTCTTGGTTTCCTATTGCTTTCCCACTAAATCAGTAACCCAGTATATAACCCCCAAAAAGACATGACATAAAGATTGATCCTAAATAAAAGTAAAATCTTCTGATATAATGGATGAGGTAGCCTTAATCTTTCCAAAAAAAAAGATCTTTAAGGCATTGTAACAGACATTTCAAATAAGAATCATTTATCAACTTGTAAATTCCAAAGAAAATTTCTCAAATCTTAAGTTACTCTTTTAAATATAGTCTCTTGCCTTTTAGAATTGGAAAGGACATATGTAAAACCTTGAGAGTCACCTGGGGGTGAAGGTGGGGCATAACAGTGAGGAAAAGCTTTTACCTCTGGGTTTGTTTCCTTATCTGTAATATAAAGAGTTCAGGAAGATGAATCATGAGACCTCTGAGCTCCAAGCCTGTGCTCCCCTGTCCTACTGCATATTCCTCACCCCTCCCTTCCAAAGCTATGGTATTTCTAGGTTTGGAAAATTTGCAGAAGGGAAGGAAAGAAATGAAGGAAAAGGGAGGCGTCCTGGAGGACACAGAGAGCGCGAGTGAAACCGTGGGGGTGATTTGAGTATGATGAAGCCCTAAATAAATACTATCTTCTTCTTACCACCCTCTGAAGTATTTTATTTTCTCCACTTGAAGAAGAGGCAACTGTCAGCTGTTGCTTTTTTAAAATCCCTGCAAACATTCTATTTTAGAAGCGTTCTTTCTTCATTTATGAAATAAAGATCTGACTGCTCTTTTTTTCCGGACCTCAGTATATATTTTGAAAGATTATAATTTTTATTTATTTTTTAATTATTTATTTATTTATATTTTTTTTTGAGGAAGATTAGCCCTGAGCTAACTACTGCCAATCTTCCTCTTTTTGCTGAGGAAGCCTGGCCCTGAGCTAACACCCATGCTCATCTTCCCCTGCTTTATACGTGGGACACCTACCACAGCATGGCTTTTGCCAAGCAGTGCCATGTCCACACCCGGGATCTGAACCGGCAAACCCTGGGCCGCTGAGAAGCGGAACGTGTGAACTTAACTGCTGTACCACCGGGCTGGCCCCGAAAGATTATAGTTTTTAAATGACATTCTATTATTGACTAGGAAGGAAGAACTTAATTGTTTTAGAAGTTTATTTTGGAATTGTGAAGGCTTATTCAGTACAGGTAGTGTTTTGCAGATTCTCACAGTGGGTTTGTGTTTGTTCTTAGTGCTGCCTGTTGTGAACAAAACAGAACTAACTTTCCCCTGAATCCCCTGAATCGGAGAAAATCAAATTAAAACAGGCCTTGCTTTGAGTGCGGCAGAAGTTGTCCATTTTCATGTGTGAAATTGAGTGAATTTTTCATTTTAAAACAGTTCCTCTTGTTTGAGGGCAGGTTCATTAACAGATACCCTATCAATGACAGATCCCTTACATTTTAAAAACAATTTTCAACAGCATTCTGAGTATTTTAAGGTGTGTGGTACTTGTAATCTGGAGTTTTGCTGATTTATTTTAGATTCTTGAGATGCCTTCAACTTGCAGCCCTGTTTAGATAACAGATCCTATTAATATAATGAAACTTCAGGGGCAGATCCGTTGGCCGAGTGGTTAAGTTCACGCGCTCTGCTTTGGCAGCCCAGGGTTTCGCTGGTTCAGATCCTGGGCGCGGACCTACCACCACTCGTCAAGCCATGCTGAGGTGGTGTCCCACATGCTACAAACTAGATGGACCCACAACTAGAAGATACAACTGTGCACTGGGGGGCTTTAAAGAAGAAAAAAATATATATAATGAAGTTTCCAATTTCCTTTTTTCTTTTGGGGAGACTAAAATACCTGATTGTAATAATCATTTGATTTAATAGTATTAACATTGTTCTTAAATATGAGACCAAAGGGCAACAAAAATGAATTAAGTTTTTGTAGTAAATGTGTCCTGAACGTTTTCAGCCTGGTTTTTGCACTGTTGTTCATTTCTCGTTTGAACCTTGTTTTAAGAAATAAAATCTTGAGCTTTAAGAGGAATAGAGGTAGGAACTGTTGAACTGGCCTCTCTCTTTTGTCCCATCCCTCCTTTCCTTCACCACCTGCTTCTGATGTAATGTACCTTTATAAATTTATAAACATCATATAAAGCTCTTTTTTCATTTATTGAATCTCCGTCTTGTAAACATTCTTATTACATGTGTGTTCTTGGAAAATACAGAAAACAAAATCACATGTAGTCCTAGTACCCAGAGGTAATGTTAAATTTTGGGTGATTCTCTTTTTGTTTTTTAAACATAGATTTTTTTTTCCCCCAAATAACACTGGGATCTACTCAATCTTATTTTGTAATGTGATTATATCAGAAACATATGGTAGAGTATACCTGGTATTGCCTCATATGCAAAGAATCCCTGAACTGAAAAATCAGCATGCCAAGTACTGCTTAATCTAATGGTAATGGATCTGTGAATTGGAACCTGTTCTTTGTGCTCGGTGTAGTCATTTGCCTGGTCCCACCTGTTCTCCAGATGACGCCAATTATGTGGACTGAACTGTCTGACGAGGCAGTGGAAAAGCACACGCAATCCAGAGCTCGTCTCTAACATGCTGCTGAGCTCAAGCAAAATTCCCTTGTCAGAAACATGGAGAAACTTCTAGTATTTGGGGACAACAGTAAATTGAGAGAAAGTGGTTGGCATTGTTTTTTAAAAAGACACAACTATGTTGCACTTATTATAGTTACCATATTTTTAATTAAGTAAAAAAAGGAGAATCATTATTCCTCACTGCTACATGAGGGATATGAGATAGGAATACAGGCAAGGTTGTATGTATTGTGGCAAACAGCGAGAAGTCTCTTCTCTGAATCCTCCCCCCTTACCTATTCTCTTATTTTCCATTTTCTTCCAAAATAGATGAGTTAGGAGAGAGCTAGGAGATAATGAAGTTTGTTTTTTTAATTTAGAAGGTGAGATTGTTTTTAAATGTTATCAGTTGACTTAATTCTCTTGGATAGCTCCTCATATTGGCCTTTTAGTCAGCTCTTCTTAATACTTATATTTTCCCCACACATAAACTCTTACTTTATCTTATTTTATAGCCTACTCTAATATGTGTTTAGTAAGTTTGGCCTGTAGGAGGTGATGATACTGGATACTGGCAAGCAATCAAGTATTTGGAAAGAGAAATTTCACCATCAGGGTGGCTTAGTCCTTAGCTTTGCTTTTTCTATGCAGATAGATATATTATTTTGCACCCATTTTTATAAAATGATTGTCTCCTCCCTCCTAACATCACAGTATTATGATAGGTGAATTAAGTTATAAGTACTTTGAGCTCCTTGAAAGTAGATGTTAAATAATTGGTCCCTGTGCTAGCCAGGGAAAAGTCCTGTATAAGTGTGTCGTCAATCAGTATTTTGGGCCTGTGAGTTATGAATCCTGGAGTAGGTCTTAGTAGTAAGTCTAATAGGAACTGGTTGCCATCAGTAATACTTGTTACACTATAAAGTACATAAAGGAGATGGAGACCTATGCTTTCTTTTCCCTCCCTGAGGAAGGTTGGCCTGGACCTAACATCTGTTGCCAATCTTCCTCTTTTTGCTTAAGGAAGGTTTGCCCTGAGCTAACATCTGTTGCCAGTCTTCCTCTATTTTGTATGTGGGTCACCACCACAGCATGGCCACCAATGAGTGGTGTAGGTCCACACCTGGAAACTGAACTTTGGCTGTTGAAGCAGAGTGCACTGAACTTAACCACTATGCCACAGGGCCGGCCCTGGGACCTGTGCTTTTTCAAACAGCTGTAGTAGTCTCCTGATTACATTCCAGAGAGGGGAATGGGGTCTGTTTGTTGGCTTGTTTTGTTGGCAAATCACATCTTTGGGAATAACCACATCTCCTGTAGCAGCCCTTTCCTTTCCTGGGGGGTTTCCCATTTCCCAGCTTTTCTCTCCTCATATCTGACTTGATTCTTCAGCCTCTGTAGGATTGCTGTTATTTTCCTGGTTGAATTGACTCTTCTTCCTGCTGCTCCTGACTTTCACCCTTGCAGCTAGCCCCTGTTAGCACCTGTCCTCTTTCACCCTCCCAGACTTTTCAGACATTCTTTCACTTACCAAGTTGTCAGCTACAGATTATTTTTCTCTGTATATATTTGCATTTTTTTCTAATTGGAATCTAATTTTTAAGAGTGACTGTTTGCACTTAAGTGTTTTTGGTGTTTGCAACACCTCTCAATTTAGTTTCATCTGCAGATTTAGTGTCTAGTGAACCAGTTTCTGGCTTAGAATCTAAGTAGATATTAGTCAGTGGCAGTCTGAAGCTGATTTTTTCTTTTTAGGGTAGTGGTTAACCCAAACTCACTTGAAGTAGTTTTAAGATAGTCTTTATCAACTGTAAAAAGTACTTTGCGTTCAATTAAATTTTAAAATTATTAGAGACCTCATGGTTCTTTAGTATGATTAAACTAGTAATTTTCTGATCAAGTAAGATGCTGTCCTTATAAACCCTGGTGTGTAAAAGCTGTGTGTGTTTGCTGAAGAAAAAATTATAAAGAAAGCCATAGATAGCTGCTATTTACACCTTGGTCTATCATTTTAGATATTGTTTAATATCTTTTTTCTTTGCTTTTATTTTTTAAAATGGAGAATTTCTAATATGCACAAAAATAGGCAAAACTGTATAAAGAACTGCCATGTACCTATCACCCAGTCCCAGTAGTTATTAATCTCCAGCCAGTTCTGCCCCACCTACGCTACCACCTCTTCCTGCCCTCCTGCCTGTATTCTTTTGAATCAATCCTAGATATGTTATGTCGTATGTATTTCAGGAAATATCTATAAAATAGGCAATGAGCTTTTAAAAAGCATGATTACAATTAGAATTACACCTAAAAAAAGTGAACACTCATTCCTTTATATCATTAGTTTCCAGTCTTTGTTCAAATTCCCAGTTGTGTCGTAATTTTTTTGACAGTTTGTTTGAATCCAGATTCAAGTAAGGTTCTCAGTTGCGATTGGCTGATCTGGCTTTATAATCTCTTGTATTTAATCTGTAAATTCCTTCTCCAACTTTCTTTGTTCCTTGCAACTTATTGGTTGAAGAAACTGGGTCTTTCTGTAGTTTCCCATAGTCTTCATTTTGCCAATTATATTCTATGAGGTAGGATTATACCCTTTGCTCTTTGTATTTCCAGAAAATTGGTGGTTTGTGTTTATTTTAATATAAAAATGAGATCATACTGTATATGCTACTTTGTAATCTTTTCTTAATAAAATTTGTATAATCTTCCAGTGCCATTAACTATTCTTCTATAATATCATCCTTAATGTTTGCATAGTATTTCAACTCCTGAGTGTTAGACTTTTAGCCTGTTTCCAGTTTTTCCCTATTATAAACAGCACAGCTGTGAACATCCTTTTAGCTAAATAAGTAATTTTGATATTAGGAATGATGATAAAATATCACAGTTCCACAGGAATTTTTGGTTAATAAGAGCAAATTTTGTGCTTTCAAATGGCATGAAGGTGTTTGATGACTTGGCTTTCCCTTGTTCTTTTAAGGCAAAATGGACATATCAAGTTTTTGACCAAAGGAGATAATAATGCAGTTGATGACCGAGGCCTCTATAAACAAGGACAACATTGGCTAGAGAAAAAAGATGTTGTAGGGAGAGCGAGGGGGTAAGTATAAAGGGGAGCATTTCCTGAGCTTTTCAGGTCACTTGAAACATGGCTCTCTCAGTCATGTAGTCTGGTCATCCACAATTGAACATAATGGTTTGGTCCTGGTTCTACCAAGTGACCTTGTGTCCTTTAGAAAAGTACGCATCTTAAAATGCATCTGAAACTTCACGGATACTGTTCCAGAGGGGAGGAAATGGGGTGCAATAAAGAATAGAATGTTAATGATGAGATGGAATTGGAGTTACAATTTTAAAAACTCATTTGTTTATTTAGTTCATTTAAGAAATGTTATTGGGCACCTTCCATGTGCTCTAATGTCTGTGCTGTGCTTGGCTCTGGGGATCCAGAGCAGTATTAATCCTGTTTCATGAAACTTACAGTTCTTAAGTAGTTACTAAGTCAACAACTTAAAGTGTTCATCTAAATTAACTTTGTCATGTTAGTTTATTCCATACTGTTTTATTTCTAGTCTTGAAATTATTGAGGTCAAATTAAATTAAAAAGTTATATTAAGCCTGTTTATTTCAGATTTTATCAGGAGAACAGATCAGTGGAGGACAGGAATTGTAAGTTATTGGTATGAGGAAGTATGGGATTGTTACTACCTTCATGTTATTAATAGTATTAACAATAACTCACATTCATTAGGGCGTACTGTGTGCCAGAGACTCATTCTAAGTGCTTTACAAGTATTACCTCATTTTAACCTCAGAACAACCCTAATATTTCCATTCTACAGATGAGGAAACACAGACGAATTAGGTTGCTTATCTAAGGTCACACTGATGGTAAGCTGGCTGACTCCGGAGTCCACCCTCTTAACCATCACACCAGAATTACTGGCATAACACTTCTGAAATGAGTAGCTGCTGATTCTCGCTATTTAGATGCCACCTGGTACTCTTACCACTGTCAGAACATCTGCCCCTGCTGACCTAGAAGAGACACTGTGGATTCAGAGTGATTACGCTAGCACACGGGCCACCACCCTGAGACTCTGTCCCTTAGAGAAGTCAATGTGAGTCATTAAGTGAAGCCTGCCTCAGTTACAGCATGAGAGACACTCATTTCGGGGCCACAGGGATCAGAGCAGAGCAGAGCAAGCACCAGTGTGTTTTGTCTCCTGCAGAGCTGGTTTTCTGTGCATGCCTACAGTTCAAGGGCACTGCATTTTCTGTCATGGAGCTAAACATACTTTTATAATCTAAATTAGATTATCAGTGCCTTGGAGAAATTATAGTCCCCATCTCCCTCATTTCTCAAGATGCTGCTAATATAGTTATTCAAACTTATCAACTTCTTTGAGTCCATGTTTTTCCTTTAATTGTAAATGTACAGATTCATGTAGAAACATAAGAAAACAGCAATCATCAAAAAGCAGCGTCACTTCTCTCCTTCCCCTCCCTCTCCATGAATATTTAACTTTTTGGTTTATGTTCTTTTAGCCTTTATGTATAAAGATGCAGCTATTAATATATATGTGTATACATACAGGGACACCTTTTATCTATGGGGAGAGAGTGGTCACACTGTTTATATCTTTTTTCATTCCTCAAAGTTATTAGTATCTTTACAAATCGAAAGATTTATCTGCATGTCATTATTTTCAAAGCTGTATTCTATTCCACTGTATGGATATTTTTATTTAGCCAATCTCCTATTGTAGGATGTTCTGATTGTTTCCATTTTTTCCATTGTGAACAGTGTTATGATGAGCATCCTTGTGACATGAATCTCAGTCCTCTGCCCAATCATTTCTTCACAGTCACTTCTTAGACGTGGGATTACTGGGTGAAACATGCATATTTCAAGGCTTTTGACAAATTTTGCCATACTGTTTTATTTATACTCCTATCAGTATAACAGAGTGTCCCTTTGTCTGGATCTTGATGCTTAGGTGTTTAATGCAGCTCCTGTCTGCTCACTCTGGCCCCCTGTCGTGGGAAAAGATGCGTTATCCCACAAAAGGGTAGGAGAGCCAGGCTTTCACTCAGGTAATTTGTGTTTCTGAAGAATTTTTGAAAAATCCCAAACTATATACAATGTTGTTTCTAAAATCCCAACATTGAAAATATGGACCTTTGTGTGGCTTTTAATAAAAAATGTAATAGCCTGGTGCTCACTTCCGTGAAGCATAAACATCTGGGGCATGAACAGCGAGAGCACAGAATCTTAACTGTACCAATTCACTTTCCGTTGATTATACCACCGCTTACCTTGACACATAATGGGGCATCACACTTCCTTTTGTGGAAATTGTGTTTGTCAAACACTAAACTGATATTTCAAAGTCAGACTGTACCCAAACCTTAAGAGTAGAGCTTTTCTGCAGACCAGTCTGTGACTGTGGTACAAATATCTTTATGCATTAAAAAAAAATTTTTTTTTCAAGCAGCTGCACACTAAAAAATTTTAAACTGAAGCCTAAGGCCATAAATAAAAACAAGTTTAAAAAATTTTTATTGGGGTATTATTCACATATATTGGGATATGAAATTTACTATTTTAAAGTGTGCAATCAGTGGGTTTTATTGTATTCACAAGGTTGTGCAGCCCTTACCACTATATAATTCCAGAACAGTTCCACACCCTAAAAAGAAAACTCCATACTCATTTGCAGTCATTCCCCATCCCCTTTTTCCCACAGCCCCTAGCAACCACTAATCTACTTTCTGTCTCTGGATTGCCTGTTCTGGGCATTTTATATAAACAGAATCTTACAATATGTGGTCTTCTGTGTCTGGCTTCTTTCACCTAGCATAACGTTTTCCAGGTTCGTTCGTGTCGTACCATGTAATAAGAACAATTTTGGAAAATAAAACTAATACTGAGCCAGCTAAGTATTTAGTAGGGGTGATTCTTTCTAAACTGAGGAGGTTGAAAACACAAGAGGACCTGTTGGTCAAAGCAGAGTAGAGAGCAGCGGCGTGGGGCGGGGGGCGGCGGGGGACAGGGGATGAAAGACGCAGGTGGCCAGGGAGGTGAGGAACACTGACAATGAAAAGAGGAATAAAAATATAAAGAAGGAGCAGCGGAATTGTGCTCTCTCTTGACTGAAACCAATTTAATGGATGAGACTTTGAAAATGTACTTTTTACTTAACTTGAAACATATCATTGTGGGAGAAAAGTAGTGATCCCAACCAGAGTTGGGACTTCCCAGATATAGACCTCTTTTGACATCTGACAAAATTACTTTCTCCCAAAACATCAGCAGATAGTTCTTCCTTCTGAGGCTCCTTCCTTAGCAGCAACTTTGACCCCAGGAACGCCCAGGGACGTGTATTTATCCCTACTCTGCCTTCTAGATGTTGACTTGGCACAGGCTGGTGTTGGAGTTGGCTTCATGGGTGACATTTGTTTTACTTATTTTAAACCTCATTATCAGCTCTGCTTTAGCAGAGTTTATGTGAGCGGAGTAGGGGAAAAGAACATCTGATATAAATTTATGATAACTGATGATGGCAGCATCGTGCACTTGATTAGCAGCTCTTTGCTGTCTCTGTCCATGGAGAGAGAGAGTGGTGCAGATAATTAAATCTGTTGTTTGACTTTGGACTGCCTGTCATATTCTGGCAGCCGTACGTTTTGCTTATATTACTCCTAAAGATCAAGCTGCTTCCATTTCACTTATGCTGGGCAAGGAAAAACCTTAGGGAAAATAATGTTTCCATGAATAATTCATAAGCAGACTGTGTGATCATTGGGAGCCAAAGGATGTGGTTCTTTGAGCATAGATGTCATTGCATGGAGGTAACAGTGAAAGTCTCTACGTGCTGAATGATTGATAAGCAGACCAGAATTAGCAGCCTGATATTGTTTTAATGGAAATCACAGATTCCTTTATAGCTTTTAATCTACGTTTTACTGTGGGGCATTTGCCTTTGCATTCTTAAATGAGATAATCTACCTTCATTGAAAGCTATTGCTTTTATGAAAGTGTTATCAATGAGACAAAAGAAATAAGTTATTACATTAAAAAGGAAAAATATGTGTATTAAAAATGCAGAAAACCTGTACCCACCCTCCTGGAGCTTAGCTATGCCCTTCTGTAGTGACTTACTTTTCAGCTCTTAGATGTTCCAGGGGTTGAAAGCAAAGCATGGGCCCTGAGAGGGGATATTATTTGTCACCACATGCCTGTTCCATGCATCTCACTTGCTAGAACTGTGCTTCTTGTACTTTAGTGTACGGAAGCACCATTTGGGCCCCACCTTCCAGAAATGCTCTGACTCAGTAAGTCTGGGGAACATGTAGCAATGTGCATTTTTAACAAGCTATCCAAGTGATTCTGACAAAGGAGGTCTAGGTTTTAAGAAACATCAACTTCTAGAATGGGAGTTTGGGAATGGGGAGAGAGATGGGTCTGAGTAATGCTGCCAGAAGGGAGAGTGGCAGGACAGGGAACAGGAAGTAAGAGGAGTTCTTTAAAGGAAGTGAAATGCATTAAAGCCAAAATTTCTGTTTTTCAAATTTGCCTAAGGCTTTGATGGTGGAGGTGTTATGTGGGAGGTAATTTGTTTGTGCACCTTTCGCATGGTGCAAATGTTGTGAATGCCCTGAATAAAAGTATCTGGGCTATTTTAAAGTGCACAAAGGTCAATCTCCACTTCAGCCCAACCTCCCTTCTCTAGGACAGTATCACCTTGTCCACTCTGGAGTCCAGCAGTAAAAGAGGAGGAAAAAGAAGAAAGTGGTACATTTGCTAACTGCCATTTACCACATTGATGGTACCCTGCCAACTTTCTCTTTCTGTCCTGAATTCTTATGATGTTGAAGAATCTTTTGCATTGAGGGGAGAATTGAAGTCCTGGGAGAACATGAGATCCTTAAGGGAAAAAGAAAAGAAGCGTCCTGGACATTGACACTTGAATCAGGCAGTGTTTGCTGGATGTCTACCATGTGCAAGGCATTATGTTTGGCCTTGAGGATACAGTGGGGAACGAGATTGGCATTGTTTTTGCCCCTGTAGACCTTAGAGTCTAGTAGGGGAGACAGGCACTAGCCAGCTGGTGATACAACTAATTACATAATTAAAATTGTGATGAAGACTTCAAAGGAAATATATAAGGTGCTGTGAGATTATTGAACAGGTGGTTTTACCTAGTTTGAGGGGACAGACTTTAGGGGCAAGAGGAAAGAAAGAGATAGTAAAAAAAAAAAAACAAAGGTGTAGCAGCCAAGAGTTAGGTGGAGGAATAAATTTGTGGTGTGTTACAGAAACCAAGGAGAAAGGGATTTCAAGGGCAAATTTGTGGTCATCAAAGTCAAATGCTGCAGAGATGTAAAGGAAGATGAGAACTGAGACTGGTCTGCTGCGTGCAGTGATTAAAACCGTTCTAGAAAAAGTTTCAGGATTAAAAGAGCCAAAGCCAGATTACAGTGGTTAAAAAATGAGAGGGTGGTGAAATCTTAAGTACTATAATAGAGCTCTTATACTCACTTTTTGGACACTTAACATGAAGTACCTTGTAACGTTCTGGCTGTGTATGCCTTGGCTCCCAACTAGATTGACAGCGGTTCTGATGACAAACCCAGCCCCTAGCACTGAATCAGCATGTAATGCATTAAAGTTGCCAGCTAGAGGTCTAAGACCTCAGATCTGGTACTGGTTCTGCCACACAGAAGCTATATAACCTTGGGCATGAGCCTCTGTTTCCTCATCTATAAAATGGCGATATTCCTAACTTCCCTATCACATGGGCTGTTGAAAGGGTCTAATAGGACAGTATACACAAGTGGACTTTGTGAACTGAAAATTAGTATTCTATGGAAGATATTGAGAATGTTCAGGAAATGATAACAGCTACTTAGGACGTTCTGTGATGATCAATTTTTTGTTTGTTTAGATTTGTTCCTTATATTGGGATTGTGACGATCCTCATGAATGACTATCCTAAATTTAAGGTAAGATCCTGAATTATATGCTTCACTAAAATTGTGATCTTTTGCTTAATTTTGGAAACTGTTAAATAGATTACTGTTAAAAGATTAAAGACTAATTGGGTAGTTTAGTAATTTATCATGGTCACAAAGGCCAGTTTATTAATTAACTGTAAGGACATGTGAACCTGTAAAAACTTCTCTGACTTGTGGTTCTGTGTTTGTTTTCTAGTATGCAGTACTCTTTCTGCTCGGTTTATTTGTGCTGGTCCATCGTGAGTAACAAATCCGCCTTGCTGTTCCTGGAAGATGCCGTCCTTTCTGTTACTGAATGTTTGGAGTAGCTATCGGTCTGTGATTGGTGGAATGGAGAACACACCGGTTGGCGCTTCTTGGTAGCACTGGTTTGCGTTAGTTTATGTTTCCACGCCAGAATGTGTGTGGGCTGGTGCACGTGCGCCACGGCGGGCACTCAAGGGGACTTTCAGTCACAGAATTTCATATGTTGTCATTGTCACACTTTCACATTTTTGTACATCAGTGAATTTTTTATATTAAAAGATTGAGCCAAAGCCCCCAGTGTTTGTATTTTGAAGCCAAGCTTCACTTCTAAAGTGCCTACAGAGTTCTGTACATGAAAATGCAGCTCTACACGAGTTTAAAACCGTCATTTCTCCTTATAATGGGAATGGCATATACTGAGGTGATCACAAGACTTAACTTTTCAAAATTTTAAATAAAAGACTTTGCATATTGAACCCCTTATCCCTGACTTGTGTTTGTCGGGAAAGCTTCTGAAATTTGCCTTCCTGTGCTGTTCTTAGCACACATTGGGGAGGTAAGGCTTTGATGTGAACAGTCCTTCAGCTAAAAAGGTTGTCCTAATACTAACAACTGTTTTTCTGTTTGTTTGTTTGTTTTTGTTTTTGTGAGGCAAAAGTAGCCATTGACGTTCATAGGAAATCTTTTAGTTGTAAAATTGATTCTTCACTAGGGCGTGACTCAGATGCGTCTACCCAGCTAGCGTGGCTGAGAGGTTGAGAAAATCTCACTAGGCTGTAAAGACTCGTAACCTGTTCTGCACTTGAGTCGTTCTCAGCCTGCCTACACCATGGCAGTGCATTTTAGCATCGGGAGGGGGCATGAGGAAGGTGCCGGAGGGCAAGCATGCTACTTGTTGTCTTTAAACTCTTAATTTGCCTGAACCTGTTCTCTTAAGTGCCTGGCTTGGCTTTGCTCTGATGCGGTCTTAAAGAAGGCAAGGTTTGAAGTAGTGAATGCAAAGCCCAGTTGTGTTTTTCTTCTGTTAATATGGAGACAGTTTAGGAAGTAGGGAGTGTAGCGGAAGCCAATGTATTTTAAGCACAAAATACTCTCGTTTCTGATCTCTTCTTGTATTAATGTGAAATCTCAAAGTGAGCACGTTATCTGTGTTGGGTTAAACGAACAGTTCCTATTATTTGTTCAACGGAGGTGGATATCAGTGCATACTTTTATGCTAATGGAATGAGAGTAGGGACAGTTCCTCTTCTAAAGCCCTCGCCTGTAGAGAAGAGTACATCCTAAGTCCATTAACTAGGCTTTAGCCCTCCACCTCTGGATACAGGCTCTTAGTGATCTCAACAGAGGATGAAACTTGGCAGGTCACTGCTAACAAGTGCTTCTTTGAAGCTGTCTGTGAGGCTTCTCTGGTACTTACATTTCTCCTGAGCCAAGGAGAGTGCTGAAGTAGCCCTCTGGGTGAGGAATGGCAGAAAATTGCTGCTTGCTCCATTTTTTCCTCCTAGTCACCCGGAGAGGAGGGGTTAACGGCTCCTCCTCGTGAGTGTCCTGGCTCTGTTTCCGTATCAGCCTTTCTGGGAGTACATTAGGGGAGAAGTAGTGTGCTTTGCTGGCCAACGCTGGGATCCAGGGTTCTTTGTGAGCCTAGCCTGCCTGAGTGTCACCATCCCTGCACTTACATACTTGGCTGTCCGGATTTCTCCTTACACACTTATTGGGAGGAAAACATTATTTTCCTCACTCGTATATTTTCACACCCAATTTTGTGGAATTACTGTTTTGCCTCCTTTGCTGGATGCCCTAGTTGGAAGCAACAGCTAAATTTCTCTGAAAAGTAATCAAATCATTTAAAAATAGTTGAATCACTGTATTAGCCAAAAGTAAAAAGTTAATTTGTGGAGAGAGGTATTACGTTCCCAGTTTTTATATTGTCTAGTTTTAGTGCTAAAAGCTAAAACTTAGAACTGGGAGATTTTACTAGTAAATATGTATTTTACAAACCCTTTGAAAATATAAGAAATGCCAGACATGTCTGATTTGGTGTTTAAATGGAATTATAAACTCTTCGAGATTTGGCAGGACAAGTGGGAAGTTGGGAGGGCTTAACCATTGTGAGTGAAGGGAATTGAAGAGTGTGAGAATTGATAAACTGCAAATGAGAATTCGATAATGGAATGATCTCTTGCCTGTTACTCATCCACTCCCGTTACTCCAACTGTTGAGTCTCTACAAGTTATTTCCAGAGGCCTGTCCTCGCTTCCAGTCCCATGTCTCTCTGTTCCCACTGGACACTTCACTTGATTGTCCCATCCTTAAACTTAAGCTCATAGCAATTCCTGCAAACTTCCCCTCCAAGTTCCACTTTTTTGTTGAAGGAGTATTCACAAAGATTTTTCATTTTCCCACCATATTTAGTCACGTGTAAGGCCTACATTTACCCCTGTCATTCCATTCTCATTACCATTACCTGAATCCAGAAACATAGTCAGTGGCTCCCTGTTGCTTAGGTGACTCTGTGTCCCAGGTTCTCTGCACTGTGCCAGTCTGTGGCTGTTTTAGATCCCCCTTAGTTTTCAACTAAGAAATGTCTCTTCTTGGACCATAAGTTTTGTGTTTACCCTATATAACACCTACATGTGAAGTTCGAACTTTGAATTCAACTAACATTAAGCATCCTTGTGCTATACTGCTGTGTTTTCAGTTATATTATCTCATACTCTTTTTTCTGCTTGTCTGAGTCTCACTGTCTTCACAAAGTAATTGTTCTTCCTCTGTCACTCAGTGTTTGCAGCCTTATGCTATTTGTCCAAGTTTGTGGCTCTGGCCTCAAGTTCCCCCCTCAGACTGTAAGCTCCTCCAGTGCAGGAGCCCCATTTTACAGATGCTGCACTCTGTTTTCCCAGTAGCATCTAGCAACACACACTAAACGTTTGGTACAATCATGCATTGGAACCAGAGGCAGTAACTTAGGGGAGCATCATTGTTGAGCTATTATTCTGGGGCAGAGCATATGAATCATTAAAGTGATTTGTACTTTCCGGTTACTTAGTAAGTACATTATCTTGGTCTTGCCAAACTTGAATCTGAAAACTTTATTTCCCATGGTTACATTTAGACAGCATGTTCCCTTTCTAGAATTTTTTTTTTTTAAGATTTTATTTTTTTTCCTTTTTCTCCCCAAAGCCCCCCAGTACATAGTTGTATATTCTTAGTTGTGGGTCCTTCTAGTTGTGGCATGTGGGATGCCGCTTCAGCACGGCTTAATGAGTGGTGCCATGTCCACGCCCAGGATCCGAACTGGCAAAACTCTGGGCTGCCACAGCAGAGTGCGTGAACTTAACTACTCGGCCACGGGGCCGGCCCCCCTTTCTAGAATTTTTTTTATGTTAATCCTGTTTTCCTCTTTTTTGTGTGTGTCCTTGAATTCTTCCTGTGTTCTCTTTCTTGATGGGAGAAGTATTGATGTTTGGCACTTATCTTAGGGAGTCATAGCCTTCTCAGAGAGCCTACGCTTAGAATAAAGGCTCTGTTGTCCTTGAGTGCATTTCTTGGTCATTTGCATCGGTGTGTTACCAAGTCCAGACAACCCTGCAGAGCATGGTGTGGAGGCTGTCTCAGCATCTGCGGGCACCCTTCCTAGGACGTTTATCACTCTACTGAGCTTCAGAAATGATCCAGCATCTAGCTGGCTAAGTGGATTGTCCACCTTTCTCAAGATGCTCCTTCAGTCAGGACTGCCTCTTCAAGCTGTTTTCTGGCCAGGTATGTCTTTGTCACCATTCTACCTTACTGGAATTGTAAGTTATGCCAGATAGGTTTTTAGACATAAAACAGCAAATATGACCCTTCACACACAACTATGGTGAGTCTGGATGTAGAAAGAATTCTGTGTAACCAAGAAGTGTTAGAGACTAGAATATGCAGGGGTTATCAAAAAAAATAGTGAGGACATCGCCTTCCAAGTGTTATGTGGAAGGCCCTCAGGATTTTTTCTACCCTCAGCTCTCAGCAGATGCCACATTCTTGTACTCTTGATATTGGTCTCACTGGACAGACATCCCATCTTTGCTTGTGCTGGTCGCTCTGCCTGGGGTACCTACTCCCTTCTCTACCTACTAAAAGCTTCCTCATTCAGCTGACATTTATTGATTATCTCCTCTGTGCTAGATTATGGGCTAGGCCCTGGGAATACAAAGAGTAAGGCAAGGGACCTCTTCTACCAGGAACTCAGAGCCTTAACAGGGGCAACGTGTAAACAAAATTTTCCACATAGGATCATAAGTGCAATGATAGAGAGATGCACAGGGAGCTCAAAGGAAAGTGTTTTTTATTCTTGACTAAGCCCTTGAGTGTGTCGTGCTTCATGCTCGGTGCTGCCCGGTGCTGCCCGGTACTTTGTTCATGCTCCTCTTTAGTGTTGTCCTCAGAGTGGTTTGTCTTATGTGTGGCCCACTCCCCATCCAGCTCCTTGAAGGCATTAAGACAAGGCCAGCCTCTGACTCATTATTGTATATCCCCTGGTCCCTGGCACATTTTAGATTTATTTATACCCTACTTTGTTCCCAAAAGGATTTGGAGTGGCTCATAAAGCTACATCTAGTACTATGTGATAAGATATAAAATAATTGAAGAATTTGGGGTTGAAATAAGTATAGGAGGAGAAAAGGATGAAATCATAAGTGAGGTTAGTATCCACAAGACACACTGAAAGATTCTGTTGTCTGCTGGAGGAGATCCATAGTGTTAGTTTTCAGCTCCTTAGGTGCTGATGTAAAGAGGGGATAATTATTTCTATGCTTTGTGGAATGGGCAATAAAATGCAATTTTAAAAAAAACTTGTAATGATACCCGAAGACCATTTCTCTTCTGGGACCTCACTGCAAGGGCACTGTGTGATGTTATACAGTCACCCCTATATTGATTAGCCTGATGATTTTCATGGAGCTCTTTCAGAGAATGTTCCTTTAGTATAGGTAGTTTGGCAACTTCTGCAAAGAGACCTCACAAAAGACCAGCTACCCATCTAATCAGCCAGGAACCTTCAACCAGCTTTCCTGGAGAACAGTGTTCCTTAATCTTTTAAAACTCATAGCCTCTTGTAAGAAATAAAAATCTCAAACAACTTCTCCATTCTGATAACTCCCCCCTCAGGTCTGGGTATCTAACCTCTTATCCTCACCAGCCAAGAATATTTGATCTTGCTTTTTCTTAAGTATGTATTATAAAAACAATAGTTACTCCTCTCTAATATACAGATAGGTTATCATATTGAATATGACTTTCAAGCTATAGATCCGTGTTCTCCCAATCTTAGGAGTTTCTGGAATGCCATCCACTCTCAGTTAAGAATCATATTTCTAGAACCCTTACTTTAATTGGCCAGTTTATTTAGATTGGTAAGCTGAATTCCAGCTCTAATTCAAGGAGTCTAGTTAAAAGAATTTGTACTCAGGACTTAGGTCACGCAAGTAAGTAAATCAGCTAGCATGAAACTTTGATAAAAGCTGTTAGCCTGACTAAGCGAAAAAAAGAAAGAATGCTATGTAGAATTCATTTCTTGGAATTGGTCAGAAGTTGAGGTATTTTAGTTTATCAAAGAACTCATGATGTAATAGGCATTTTGCCAAGACGTTTTCTTGACTGTTACGCCTGCACCATGGCCTTTGCTGCATCCAGGGAACCCCTGTGATGGGCTTCAGATTCCCAGCAGGCTTTGCTTTTCCCAGGATCCAGCTAATAATATTCAGTGCTTAGAATGTGCCATGTGCTCTGCTAAGTGCTTTTGAATTTATAACAAATTTTTATTTTCTCTCATTTAGTCCTCAAAATAAACTCCAGTTTACAAAAGAGAGAAACCAGAAGCTAAGAGGTTTGCCTAGGATCTTCTGGTCCACGGATGGCAGAGCCAGAAGTCAGTCTATTGCTTTTAGCATGTCACAGTGCTGGTGTCTTTCTACCTTTATAAAGTCTAAGAAGACTCTTTGATTTGGGATAAACCCCACAATTGCAAGCCCCTTGGGAATTCTTCAGAGGCTTTAGTTTGTTCTTCGGTGGATTTGCTCAGATTAGTAAATCTCCCAGAAATAGTGAGATTCTCAGGCAGATTTCCAAGCATTTAAACCTGTTTGGAGTTTACAGAGTATTTATTTCAGTTACTGAAATACACCCTGAAATCCATGGCTATTACACGCAAATAATTATGAATGCCGGGCCTGGGGCTTCTCTCCTTAGGTTTTCATAACTTCCCTGAGCATCTGTGCCCTTAGCTGAGCAGCAGCTGCTTAGCTTTCTTAGCCACTGTTGGGGTCGTCATCACTTTCCTTACTAGATGTAGGTATTTTCTCTCTTTTTGAATATTGCCTTTAAAAAAAAAATTTCATATTTTGGCAATTTCAGTTCTGAAATATTTCCTTATTAATAGTTAATGTTCTGATTTTCCAGCTAATCCCTCTGTGTTCCTTCTGACTTTGGGAAATTGTGTCAGATATCCCTGAGTCTCCCTTCTTTCTTTCTTAAAGATTCTGCTGTTATCCTGTTTCTGCAGCCCCTTCCCCATTCTGAAACTAAAGAGCGGGACCTGAGTTATCTCAAGATCTCATCTCCCCAGCCCACACAGATGGAGAGCTTGTGCGCGGAGGTCTGCCAGGAGAGTGATTGTATGCCATCCTAGTCTGAGCAGCTCTACGTTTGTCATCATTCCTTTTCACCGGATTCTTTACGTCTAATTTAAATTTCTGCTTTTCACTTTCTCTCTTGTCCTCTGTGCCTTTCATGTGTTTGGAGTCCACACACTGGTTTCTCCATTTGTTTAGTTTCTCTGCAACTAACTTGGTTTGTACTTAAGTTGACTTATCTATAAGGTGGGCATAATACTAGTCTTTACTACAGCAAAATAGTGTTGGTGATCAAAGGAGCATGTATGTAAGTGCTTTTGGAAAACAACAACAAAAAAGACTCAGTTGTGAAAAGGTGTTACTTGTAATTGATTGCAACTTAATGAAAATATAGCAACTAGTAATATATGTGTCCTTTATTTCAAGCAACCTTTGATTAAAAACCATGGTGCAGTTTAAATGTTTCATTGGTGTTGGTTATAACAGGATTTCCCATCTATCTTTCACCCCTTAATTATCTTTTGGATTGTCCTATGAATCTTCTCTACATTTTCTGTGGATGACCTTGAATGTTGTAGAAACATGGGAAGGGTCAAGGGTACGCTCTGAAGAGCTTCCCCATGCGCCTCCATGATTCACTGTCAGTCTTCCCATTGGGATGGAGGCCTTTGGACTTCCCTTGCCATCACAGTGGACTTGGGGAACAGGCAGTTGGCAGTTCAGGTCCTTGTTCTAAACTCAGCCTAGCACTCCCTGGGAGATCCCGCTTGGAAGTGCTATCTTGGGCAAGCCACCCTCTCTGCTGTGCCTAATCCTCCTCCCTCCTGGGACAGTGTGTTATAGCTGGCCATGAAGCCGCTGCCCTGCTGCTTTCTCCAGAGTCCTCAGAAGCCCCTTTTTCCTCTGCTAGGCTGACATACAGTGATTTCAGGGACATCTGGGGTCTGTCCGGGGGCTGTGGTTGGAGCAGTGAACCCAGGCTGTGTCAGAGGAGGCTTGGCTTAAATATAAAGAACCTATCAGAGCAGAACGCAAAGCTCCAGGGTCACCTGCAGAAGAGAGGTGAAAGTAAATGCAGTGCCTGCTCCCCCTCCCTCCTGAGAAATCTACACCAATGCAATGTTTAAACTTGGAATGGTAAAGCAGGTGTGGGTGTGTTTAGGGAAAGCAGCATCTGCCCTGTACAACTTTGGGTGTCCGATAGAGTGGTCCAGACAGACCCAAAGTCTGATTCCAGTGTGACGTCTGGGCAGTGACTCAACCTGTGAGCCTGTTTCCAACTATGAAATGAGGAAAGAGAAATCTACCCAATAAAGTTCCTTCAAGCATTTAAATCAGGCAGCAATTAATACCAGCTCCTATGTTTTCCCACTAGTTTCTCCATCCGTGGACCAGAGAAGAGAGGATGGTATGTGGTTGATGCAGAGGAGAGGGAGGGGGTCACAAAGGGAATGATTATTATGGGAAGGTGATAAGAGCTATATCTGTACAGCATGGCTAAGCAGTGACAAGAATGCAGAGAGGTGTAAATGCCAGGGTGGGGGATGAGAAGCAAAGAGATCGGGGAAAAAGCCAGGGCCAGAAATGGAGTGCTCCTGTCCTGCATGTCATGCTCCCAGGAGCTGAGCGCGACAATCAGCTTCTCATAAAGGCTATTAAGATGCTGATCCATAGAGCTAGCAGGGCTTGCTGCGCTAGATACATGCAAGAGGAATGATCACAAGTACCGTTATTGAGCCAGACTGGGGAGTAGGTTCTGTCACAGCCACACTGTGCAGTGTTTCAGGGAAGAGTCCAGAGTCCAGGGGTTGGTCTGTACCCCGCTCCTTCATCACGCCCTCCTTTGTGTTCTGTCTCTCCAATGAGATGAACTCCCTTGGGAGTGGGGAATTACCTCTTGTCTCCCCTCCTCCTGTGCCTAGCAGAGTGCTCTGAACATTGGTGTTTAGTCCAAACATTTAAGCAGAAATAAACATATTATTCTGGAGCACACCGTCTTTGCCTACACTGATGCTGCTGACCCAGAAGTTCTTTCCAAGACAAGTCTAGACAGCACCTTGGGAGGAGGAGAGTGCTGAGTGTGAGAGGGCAGTCCTAGAGGACTGCGGCTTCCTGCCACAAAATAATTGTGCTAAAACATGTAAAATTATTAAAAATAGGGCAATGTGGTTATTCCCATTTTACAGTTGAAGAAAGAGGTTCAACGAGTTCACACACTTGTATCTGGACACCTGTGCTCTTTCCACTCCCCTGACCCAGAGATCTGCCTGTTGCCCGGCTGACAGGCCAGGCTCTTCCTAGCGGGGTGCCCATTCCTGGGGGGCCTTATCCCAGCATCCATCGTTCTGCCTGAGTGCTGGCAGTGAGAGTGCAAAGAGGGTTGAGCACGGTCAGAGCCCTGCGGGAGGGGCCGATGGGCATCCTACGGAGCCCCTCTGGCGCCTGGCCCTTTGCTGGACGCTGTGACGCCAGTGTTACACAGGAGCAGGCGTCCTCGCCCCCACTTTCGCCCTTACAAAGAGAAGCTCCGAGGCGAAGAACTGCTGTCGGCCCAACGCCGGTGGGAGTGGAGGGAGACCGGGGGACCCCACTTGCCCCGGGCCAGGTCCTTAGCCTGAAGGTGGCGAGCTTGGGACAGAGGCCCTAAGGGAGCGGTGCCCACGTGGGGGCAGGAGTGCGGGCGTGCGGGTCGCGGACAGAGACCCCCACCCGAGGGCTCGCGGGCCGCACTGGGACTGGGAAGGCGGAGCAGGTGGAGCGCGGGGGCAGGCCCTGGGCAGGCTCCGCCTCCCGGACAGGCTCCGCCCCCTGGGCGCGGGTTTAAAAGAAGGGAAGGCGGGCGCCGCACATTGGGGCGGTGGCGAGGCGCGCCGGGTAGAGCTATGACCCTGCGGGCGGGGGGCGCGCGGCTGTTCGGCGGCCTCCTGCTCTTCGCTCTGCTCGCGGCCAGCACCGCCCCGCTCGGCTGGGATCTCCCGGAGCCCCGCAGCCGGGCCGGCAAGATCCGAGTGCACCCGCGGGGCAACCTCTGGGCCACCGGTAAGTCTTCGGGACCCCGGCAGGCGCCCCTCACCCTCCTCTGACCCCATGTTCCTTCTCTGGCTGTTCTTCAGCCATGGACACTAGTGTCCCGGCTGGTGGGAACCCTGGAACTCATCTGATTTAACAGATGGGGAACCTGAGAGCCAGATCGGTCAGTGACTTGGCTAAGAGTATTCAGCCAGTTTAAAGCAGACCTGGGGCTGGATCCTAGATCTGCCCTCCAGCTGATTCTACTTAGGCAAGATTCTACTGAATCTTCTAACCTCTGGCGTGTCTTCTCTCTGCACCTCCACCTTCCAGGCACCTATTCCTTCTCCACTTCCTTCCCTGCCCTTTCCTGTCCCTCTTCTAAGCAGGGAGCACAACTGGCAGAGTTTCTCCCTGGCCCTGGGCCATGCCTCCCTCCTTCCAGCCATGCCATCTCCACCCTCTCTACCTGTTCAGGAAAAGCTGAGGTACAGGCTGTCAACCCCGGGGGTCTTTGCAGCTCCTTGGTGAGAAGGAGAAGGAGGAAAGTTGTGTATCTTCTTGCCACGAGAACTGAAAGATGGGAGAGGTCAGGAACTTCCCCACTGGGATCAGATCCTCACTCCCTGACTTCTTTGTGCCTCCGCATCTCATTTCTAGGTCACTTCATGGGCAAGAAGAGTCTGGCCATCCCATCCCCACTGGGGACAGCTCCCCACATCTCCCTGAGGGACCAGAGGCTGCAGCTGAGTCATGATCTGCTCAGGATCCTCCTGCTAAAGAAAGCTCTGGGCCTGAGCCTCGACAGCCCAGCATCTCACACCCAGGTGAGCCAGGCCCCCACCTTGGGCCCAGGCCAGGCTCAGCCAGGGCTGCCCCTGGATCCAGCACTGGGCTTAGGGTGTAACTGCCCCACCAGGGCGTGATGGACCCCAGAAAGCCAGAGATTTCTGGCTCTCCCTGTGATCAGAGCTCAAAGGGAGAGGACTCCAAAGAAAGGAAGCTGACCCTCCCAGCAAACCCCATGGAGCAAGAAGTAGGGGAAGAAGTTCCCCTCACCTATTGCCCAATTTACAGTCAGAGCCTAGGATTACCCAGCCTCTTGCAGCAGGGCTTTCCCTCGCCAGTCCACACAGATTTGCCGCACCCCAGTTTTCCACCTTTGCAGTGCCCTGTATGTCCTTGTAGCCAGAGTTGGGACCCTGAGCCCCAGAGAGGGAAGAGAAGAGTCAGTTATCAGCCAAGACAGAGTTTGGATCTTGTTTACCATGACCAGTGCTCTTCCCAGTCTCTCATCTGCCTCAGTGACCCATGGCAGGGTCTCAACCTCAGCACTCTTGACATTCTGGGCTGGATAATTCTTGGTTGTGGGGGCTAGCCTGTGCATTGCAGGCAGTGTAGCAGCTTCCCTGGTCTCCATCCACTAGAGCATCCTCCCTCTCCACCGCACAATTTTCACAACGAAAAATGCCTCTAGATGTTGCCAGAGGTCCTCTGGTGAGGGGACGGGGGAGGGAGCCAACATCACCCCTGGTTGTAAACCACTGACCTATGGGGGTTCAAGGCCCTAAAGCTGGAGCCCAGCCGCCTTAGTCTCCAGCCTGGTAGAGGGGCAGCTCTTCCATTCCCTGCTCCTGGTGCTGTCCCCACTCCACCTTCCCTGGTCCTCTGTTGCTGTGTGCAAAATGGCAGTGTGATGTGGTAGAATGTGGGTTCTGGCAACAGTGTCCTAGGCTCATAACCCAGCTGCTTAGTAGCTGTGTGACCTTAGAAATGTCAGTTAACCTCTCTAAGCCTCATCTTCTCATCCATCAAATGGATGATGCCTGGCACATACAAAGCACTTAGTAAACGGGTGCTATTACCGGTCCGTGAGCCCCCTGGCAGCACCTGTTGCTGACTCACCTTTGTATCCCTAGCATGTAGTCTGTATGTTTTGAAAGAAGGGAGGGGCATTCCCTAGAGAAGGTCCAGCCCCAGTCAATCTCACTGACTCTCCTGATGCACAGAACCCCCAGCCACTAAGGGCAGGAGCTTGGGCTGGCTGAATCTGAAGGGAGACAATGTCACCTCTGGGGCTGTTGGTCAAAGGCCTGAAACATGCAGACAGCTAGAAAGCAGTACCTAGCCCTTGGGGATGGGGCTTCAGAAGTGAGGGCTGGGGCAGAGCTGGGGGCAGGGGAGTGAAAACACTGACTCTTGCCCAGGACCAGGCACTGTACTTGGACTTTACTTCCATGATGTCCTTTGACTGTCGTGCCCATTCTCTGAGGTTGGGGCTGTTATTCTGAGAAAACCATTGCCCCAACCCCTCTCAGGCCCTTCTTCAGGGAGAAAGGTGCTGGGGGACCTGCCTCAGCTGAGAACCTACCCCTCCTACCTCTGTGGATGCCTAGCCCTTAGGAATGGCAGGATGCCCCTATCATTTGCCCCTTCTGCCCAGGTTAATTCCTCTGTGTGTTCCCCTTCAGCACAGGAGGCTGCTGGTACAATTGCTGCAGAAGTGATGCCATTAACGAGGAAGACAGGACGACATGGCTTAGCTTGTGCCCACCCAGGGAAGGTGCTGAATGGGACCCTGGCAGTGGCCCCATCTGGATGTAAATCCTGGGCTCAAATCTCGGTTGTTACTCCATTACTGTGATTTCTAGTTGAGTCACCAGGAATATTGCCAATGCAGACACAAATTATGTTCCTACTGTATGTCTTGCTTCCCTGTTGAAGTTATGAATAAAACCCTCCTCTTTACATAGAATGTCTGGCCCTCTCCTTCCAGCCAGGTTTGACGGAATGGGAGGGAAAGGGGGCTGGAGGACCGGGTCTTCAGTGAGATGGGGCTGGCTCCAAAAAGCCCAGAACACTCCACGGTACTAGCCAGGCACTGACTCAGGACTCCTACTCATTCGCTCATTCAGCAAGCAGGTACTCAACGCCTGCTGGATGCCAGGTCCTGTGCCAGGCGCTGGGTTCTCCTCTCGCCTCTGCCACCTACTGGCACAGGCAGGTCTCTCCTGTTTCCTCGCCTGTAAAGGGAGCTGCCTGCACTACACAGCGGGGCTTTGCTTACCCCATCTTATTTCTTCCTCGCGCCAAGCTCTGAGGGGAGTGTCCGGCACACACAAGGGAGAGCGCCGGGCTGGGATCCAGACCCCGCTGTCCGCTTCCTCTCTCCGCTTGCCTTGGGTAAGGTTGCCAGAGTTAGCAAGTAAAAATACAGGACACCCCGTTAAATTCGAATTTCAGATAAACAATAATCTTTTCGTACAAGATGTCCTAAATATTGTACGGACATACTCAAAATTCGAATTTAACGGGGCGTCCTGTTGGCCTTGGTCCTCTGATCTGCAAATACCCGGTCGTAAAACAGGCGGGTATTTGGTCCCTCAGGCTCACCTGGAGCTGACATCCTGGGAATCCCTGATTTTACGTCATTTTTCCCGGAGCTCTTACCCGGAGAAGCCCTGACCCAGCCGAGCGAGGGCACGGCGCGTCTGCGGCTGCGCCCCAACACTTCTCCGCCCCGCCCCTGGCGAGAGGCCACGCCCCCCGGCAAGGGCAGGCCGCGCACACTCCTCGCGAGAGGGCCGCGCGGGCCAAGGGAGGTTCCGAGGCGGAAGTGGGGCGGCGGAAGTGAGGAACCGGAAGCGACAGTTGCCATGGAGCCCGCGGAGGACTGGCTGGTGGAGTCGTTGCGCTTGTAAATTCTGTGGGCTTGGGACCTGGGCTCCGGGCCTGGGCGGGCGCGGGTGGGGCGCGTGGGGAATCCTGGCGTGCATGGGGCGGCGCTGGCCGCGGGGCGGGGCCTCGGCTGCCTGGTCTGGGACACGGCGCCTTCCTGTGGGCGCAGGTCGGGTGAGGTTCTGCTAAGGGCAGTGCTTGGCAGGATAATAACATAAGGGGGCAGTTATCTTGCGCCAGCCTGTGAGTTCAGCCGTGAACGTGGGTTAGCTCGTTGATTCCTCGCATCACCCTCGGGGAGTCCGGGTACCCTGGGAGTTCCACCTTACAGATGCGGAGCGAGGCTCCGGGGAATTGGGACTGGCCTGGTCCCAGGCGCGCAGCGGGTAAAATGTGTAACAAGACTTGATCCCAGCGCGGCCTGGCTGCAGAGCCCGGGCCCCCAGCCACCCAACCGTGCTGCCAGCTCAGTTCCTTAACAACAGTGCAGTGTCGTGCACCGGCCGACGTTGTGTTCCTGTCGTGTAGGTACCAGGATTTCCATGCGTTCGACCTCTCGGAAGCCACTCGAGTCCTTGAATGGATTGGTGACAAAGGTGATAAGCCCTGCCTGGCCCTGAAGGAGGCAGAGTCCCACTCCTCGGGCTGGGACTCGGGAGCTCAGCTCAAAGGGATGCAACCCACTCTTCTGGGAGCCTGAGGGCCTCCTGGTCCCTGGTAGCAATTGTGTGGCCAGGCAGCACTTATGTTTCTCCTTTAAGATCTAGATTTGGGGCCAGCCCTGGTGGCCTGGTGGTTGGGTTCCATCCCCGGGAGGGACCTACACTACTGTCAGCAGCCACGCTGTGGCAGCGACCCACATACAAAATAGAGAGGAAGGTTGGCACAGATGTTAGCTCAGGGACAATCTTCCTCAGCAAAAAAAAGATCTAGGTTTCTTCCACACCCCAATACAAGACTGTATACCAATGGCAAAGGAGTTTATCGTTGCTTTGGAGGATTTGGCAGAGTTTCTAGACCCAGCCGTGATGCAGTCTTTCTAGCAGTTTGTCACAGTTACTTCTGCTTCTTTTTCCAGGAGTCTTTGTTGCTGGCTATGAAAGTCGGAAAAAAAATGAGATTCTTCATCTGACATTACCTTTCAGACTTTCTGTAAAAGAAAACCAGGTAAGTTGAAATACAAATGCTGAGTATATGTGTCTACTTTTACTCATGTTTGAAACCTTTATGGAGCCCCTGTTGTCTACTGGATATCGTCCTGGCTGCTAGAAAGAGTGACAAGCCCTGGGCCTGCCCTTACAGTCTAGTAGAGGGAGGCAAATATGCACAGAGATAGGTGCTTCAGAATGTCATGATTTACAGAGGGCTCCTGGAGGAGGAGGTCAATTTTGTTTTGTTAAAAATAGATTTAGGGAGCCATTAGGGTATAGAGGGTGGTTAAGGTCCCCTAGGATGAATGTGTAGTGTATAAGAAATAAGAGGAGAAATGACTAGAGCCAGAACCTCAGGGATACATTTAAGGAGTGAGTAGAGGAAGATGAGCCCACAGGGAAGGCTGAGAAGGAATCGTCTTTGAAGTAGGAGTCTCAGAAAAGGTTAGTGTTTCCGAAGCCAAGAGAAGAGTATGTGTCAACAAGAAAAGAGTTCTCTCTCTCTCTCTTTCTACCTGAGCCCTTGATGTGTGGCCCCAGGTATGCTGTGTAATTTCCAGGTCTTGTAAGGAACAAACCTTTATATTTTCCCCCCAAAAAAGAAGGGAAGAGTTGATAGCTGCCTAATGTTGCTATAGAATCGTTCAGACTCATCTGATAGGGCCGCCTGGCAAATTCCCTGCCTAGGGCTCTTGGTCGCCCGCGTCCCCACCACTCCAGCTTCAGCCGGGAGCTTGCCCAGACTGAGCTTGACGAGAGGCCTGGTTTACCTCCCACCTCACCCCTGGCTTTTCATCTCTTGCCTTACGGCCACCTCCTTTTCCCCTACTTCCAGTTCCTCACGTGCAGATAGTAGATAGCTCTAGTGGCTAAGAGCATGAACTTTGGTTACACAGACCTGGGTTCAGATTCACAACATAATCCCTGTGTGACCTTCGAAAAGTTGCTTAAGCTCCCTGTGCCTTAGTTTTGTCATTTTAGAATAGGGATAATTATAGTACCTACATCACTGGTGGTTGTAAGAATCCAACTTGATGAAGTAGATAAAGCACTAAACACAGCGGCTGCTGCAGTGAACACTGGGTAATTGGTGGTTGTATATTTCTGCTGCTGGAAGAACCCATCTGACTTCCAGTGGGTGGTGTGGGAGGATGGGGAATGTGTCAGTTGGCTGATAACATTCCAACTTTCTTTGATGAGGCTGTTAGGCCTCTGTGAGTCCTCTAAGAAGGCCTGGAGTATCAGACTTGTGCTGTAGTGAGAGGGGCTGGGGAAAGGTTAGAAGGGTTTTGAATGTGCAGGGCAGAAAGGAAGCCGTCTGTGTAGGCAGCTGAGACCCGTGTTTATAAATAGCAGCCACCGAGGCCCTGCAGGGAGCAGTATCTGTTGGCAGCTGAGCATCCTGCATGGCTGCCTGCTGCCTGGGCTCTAGCTCCTTACCTAGAGCACGTCTGAAACAGCTCTTTGGAGAGCAGGCCCTATCTGATCGGCCGCCCCTTTGTATTTTAGGGCTTGTTCCCGGAAAGAGATTTTAAGGTCCGCCACGGAGGATTTTCAGACAGGCCTGTCTTTGATCTGAAGCATGTGCCGGACACCAGGTACGGTCAGCTCTGTGACCCAGACCTTCTGTTCAGGATGGAGTGTCTGGAAACACCAGGGGTATCCTGCCTTTTCATCCCCAGCCCTACCCCCTCAGCACATGGGCACACGTGAGCACATGGGCACACGTGAGCACATGCATGCACATGCAGAGATCTGAAATACAAAGAAAGCATGGCTGGGTGCCTTCATGGTCTCTCACAGACCTTTTGACCAGTGTAACCCACAGATCGCTGGGGTTGCTCCGGGGAATAGATATAGAGAAGAACGTCGCTCTTAGTTTCTCAGAGAGCTGATGGTTGGGGCTGATAGCTCAGTTGGCAGAGGCTGAGAGTCTCTGGGTCAGGGTTGTGTCTTCAGGCTCCATGCTGGTGTCCTCTCTGGGACACGTCACAGCATGTGGAAGCCTGTGCTCAGTCCTGTGACTCGCCAGGAGCTGTGGCCTGTCCCTAAAGTGGAGGGAGCCTGCCCCTCTCCCGTTAAATGAGATGACGGGTCCTGATGACCCCTTCCTGCAGTAAGCTTCCCTGATACGGAGAGTATACGAATCCCGGGCTGAGGGGCTGAAGAAGGGAAAGGCTGGGGGACGTGGGTGAGCTCCCCACTGTCTGGACTGAGATTCCTATCCATCCTGAATAGGTTGCTGGTGACCAGTGGCCTTCCAGGTTGTTACCTGCAGGTGTGGCAGGTCGCAGAGGACAGTGGTGAGTGAATTTGACTTGGTGGGGGTTTGGGTTGTAGGAAAGCCTGATACACACCCCCACCCCCTAATCTGAACCAATTAAGAAGTTGACTCTTGGGGCCAGCCTGGTGGTGTAGTAGTTAAGTTGGTGTGTTCTGCTTCGGCAGCCCAGGGTTCACAGGTTCAGATCCCGGGTGTAGACCTACACACTGCTTGTCAAGTCACACTGTGGTGGCGTCCCACATACAAAATAGAGGAAGATTGACGCAAATGTTAGCTCAGGTGCAATCTTCCTCAAGCACAAAGAGGAAGATTGGCAACAGATGTTAGCTCAGAGCCAATCTTCACCAAAAAAAAAGAAAAGAAAAAGATAGTGACTCAGAGCCAAGTGGGAATTAAAATGCAGTATCCTTTAATGCAGGCAAAGATGAGTTAGCAACCACAGCATGGCACACAGGCCCCAAATGGAGCTTCCTGGAACTTGCTCCAGGAGTTGAGTTTACCAACCCAGTCATAGGCAGAGCACCTCGTGAACCAGGGCCTCTCCCCCAGGCAGGGGCAGAGGCAACGGCAGAGCTAGGGCTGTTTGGGTGAGCTCACCTCCTGGAGGGAAAGGAGGCAGCGAGGAGGTCCCCGCTCTTTGCACGCACACTGGTCTCACGGAAGGAAAATAGTGAATGAGCAAAAGGCTGCGCTCACCAGTCTCCACCTCAGAGAAGTCGCTCTGCTCCCCAACAGGGGACCACAACGGGGCAGAAAGTGTTAGTCCTGTTCCCTCTGGGAGCGGAGGGGAGTTCCCTAGTGGGAAGTAGCTGGCCCTCCAGCAGTGGGTTTGCAGTTTCCCCCACAGGCAGGCACCAGAGCATGCAGTCCTGACCCAGCCCCTTCTCCACGTCCCTCCGTGAGAGCATTGTTGGCAGTGTGGATGTTGCCTCTGAGCCACAGGCCCCAACTCTGGGAGCCCCCCCCTCGCCTGTGTGGTCCTCTGCCCAGGCCCACACCACCTCGCTGGGTGCTTCCCAGAACCTGCCACGGCTTCAGCTTCTCCCAGGCTTCACTGCTGCAGAGGGGCTGGGCCTGCTCATCTGCTTGTGAGGGCACTGACCCCGTGGGCTTTCCTTGTTGTTTCTCCCCATTTTAAGTGTACAATTCTGTGATTTTTACTAAGTTTAACAAGTTGTGCAACCAGCACTCTGAGTCAGTTTTAGAACATTTTTCAAAACCCCGGTAAGATCCATCATGCCATTTACTGTTAATCTGCACGCCCACACCCTGCCCAGGCAGCCACTGATCTACTTTCTCTCTCTAATAGATGGCCTTTTCTGGACGTTTCATATCAATGAAATCACACGATATGTGGCCTCCTGTATCGGGCTTCTTTCACTTAGCATGCTGCTTTTGTGGTCCACCATGACATAGTGTGTATTGCTAGTTTGCTCCTTTTTATGATGAACAGTGCTCCACTGTGTGGATGTTCCACGTTTGTCTATCCTTTCATGAGTTGAGGGATCTGATTTTTGGCTGTTATGAATGATGCCACTAAGAACGTTCATGTGCAAGTCTCTGTGTGGACGTACGTTTCCATTTCTCTTGGATAGACGCTGAAGAAACTTCCAGACTGTTTTCCACAATGGCGTCATCATTACCATTCCCACCAGCAGTCTGTGAGGGTTCCCGTTTCTCCGTGTCCTCACCAACACTTGTTATTGTCTATCTCTTTTATTAGCTCCATCCTAACTGTGTGAAATTGTCTGTCATTGTGGTTTTCATTTGCATTTCCTCAGTGACTATAACGTTGAGCATTTTTTCGTGTGCTTATTAGCCATTCATGTGTCTTCTTTGGTGAAATGCCTGTTCAAATCTTGATGAGGGAGTTTTGCTGTCGTTCTTGCCCCCAGCAGGCTGAGACAACATGCTGTCACAGACCCTTTGAGATTGTGCTTTCACTGTACATTTTGGTAGGTATCTGTTCAGGTTAGTCAACAATTTGTAAGATGCGACAGTGATCTTAGTGAGTGTGTGTTGTATTCCAGGCCGTGTACTAAGCACTTTCCACTCGTGATCTCTTTAAATTCTCGTGAGTCTGACAACAAACTCTGTGCCAGAGAGGCTAACTTGTTCAGAGTCACAAAGATAGTAGCAGAAGCAAGACTTAGGTCTGGTTTGACTTCAGAGTCTGCTCATAGCCATGCCTGGCGGTAGCTGTGGTCAGATAATGATAATTCATCTCAGCATGGATGTAGGGGCTCTGAAAAAAGTTGGCGGGGTGTTTGCCGGCCAGCAGTGTGGGCTATGCCACCAGTTTGCTTAGAGCTGGTTCCTGGGGGTAAATCTATCCACGAAAGGTCACGTTTATAATAATAATAATTATCATTATTACTGTTATTTGTAGCAGTAGCTAACATCTCATCATTCAGTGAACAAACATTCATTGTGTGCTTCCGATGTGTCAAACATTGGGCAGGGTTCTGGGGTTACAGCAGCAAGCAAAAACATTTGTTCCTTGCTTTCTTGTTGCTTATATTTTATCACATATTTTGCCCATTTATTTTTTTAAGATTTTGTTTTTATTTTTTATTTTTCCTTCTTCCCCCAAAGCCCTCCAGTACATAGTTGTATATTTTAGTTGTGGGTCCTTCTAGTTGTGGTGTGTGGGACGCCGCCTCAGCATGGGCTGATGAGCAGCGCTAGGCCCGCACCCAGGATCCAAACCAGCAAAACCCTGGGCCGCCGAAGTGGAGCGCGTGAACTTAACCACTCGGCCACAGGGCCAGCCCCTGTTTTTCCCACTTTTTGATTGGCTTTTTTTGTCTTGATTGAGTTGTAGGAGTTCTTTGCACATTCTGGGTACAAGTTATTTTTCAGATAGTGTGTTTTGCTAATATTTCCTCCCAGTCTGTTACTTGTCTTTTCATTTTCTTAATAGTGTCCCTTGAAGCATAAAAGTTTTAAATTTTGATGAGGTCCAATTTATCAGTGTTTTCTTTTATGGAGTGTATTTTTGGTGTTATATCTAAGAAATCTTCACCTAACCCATAGATTTTCCCCTATTTTTTTTCCCCCAAAGTTTTATTGTTTAACTCCAACATTTAAGTCTCTGATCTCTTTAGCATTGACTTTTGTGTACGGTATGAGGTAAGGGTCTAAGTTCCTCTTTTTGCATGTGAATATCCAGTTGTCCCAGCACCTTTGTCAAAAAGCCTAACCTTTCTCCATCCATTTGCCTTGGTGCCTTTGTTGAAAATCAATTGCCCATAAATAGAAGGATTTATTTCTGGACTCTCAGTTCTCTTCCATTGATCAATATGTCTGTCCCTATGCCAGTAACTTGTAATTGTTTTTATCTTTACCTAAAAGTAGGCTGTGTGGGACAGCAGTGGGTTAAAGACGAGAGCAGGGGAGTCTTTCTAACAGCTTGGAGGCGCCTTGGAGCTGCCTTTTGTCCTGACAGGGCCTGGGGTGCCGGTACCTTAAAGACCCTGGAGCCTCAGGCCTAAGGGAGCAAATGGCCCAAGGGACTTACTCTGACACTCTTGGGAGTCGGAAATCAGATAAAAAGTTTTCTTCGCCTAGATATTAGTGCAGAATATTCCAGAGCCTCGGGAAGACTGGCCAGCTGTTTTCCCAGAAGCCTAAAAGCACAGCATTGTCTTGGTGAATTTTCCGAGCTCCAGGTTTTGACCCACAGCTTTGATGTCTCAGAAACCTGACTTTGTCAGTGCATCCACAACAAATCGAATCTGTTTATGGGGGCTGACACCCTCACCGGACTCACAGGACTGCTGTCTAGGCCAGAGTTCATTTATTAGTTTATAATGACAAAGTAAGTACCCATAAAAGGGGAGTAGTCCAGGTCCTTATTCTTTGCCTATAGAAGACCTAACCTAATCAAAGGCTTGTGATAAACTTAACCCAAACAAGGGGAATTAGCTCAGAGCTTTCTAAGTTGTGTTTCACGCGCCTAGGCACAGGGTATGAACCTGTGAGGGCGCACTGCCCAGCCAAGAGCTGCCCACGCCCCTGGGCCGCGCCAAGCCCCTTCTCAGCCCGGGGGCGTGGAAGTGTCTGAGTTGGAGGAATACATATCTGAAGGTCTCAGCTGAGTGTCACTAGCTGCTTCCACTTTGAAGTTAAATATTTAGTCTGGTGTGGCTCCCTCCACCCTGGACAGGCTCCACTTTCTCTGCCTCTGTGGTTGAACAGCTTGTCTCATGGACACGGCTTCCCTTTAGACGTGTTCACGTGTTTGCTCAGTGTGCCGGTCTGGGAGCCATTCTGGCTCCTTCCAGAGTGTGCCCACCTCTCCTCTGACCCTTTCTATGTTGGTTTAATCTTCAGACACAGCCTTCCTTCCTTTATTGCCCTTGGGGTTCTTGGAGGTGCCTCGCTGTGTCTTTTGCTTTGGTTTCATAGCAGTCTCTCCTCTCAGCTTGGGGCTGCTTTGGAAACATGGCGTGGATTCCCTAGAGGAGGGCACTTCCTTCCCTGTCGTAATTACAGAACAGCTCTCCAGTCGGGCCCTGGAGCCTGTCTTTCCATGGCGTCTTTGACATAGGTCTTTGCAGGCTTTCCCTTGGCGGCCTCCTTCCCCCCGTGTGGGGACAGATCATGTCTGAGAACCCTCCCCTGCTCAGAGCGGCAGCTCCTGGGGAGTCCAACCAGGCCCCTCAGGGTCTGTGGACAGGGGAGAGGGAGCCACTCAGTGTGGCCTGGGAGAGCCAGACAAACTGTGCTTGGGGCGGGTTTGAAGCACAGTCTCATGGGCACTCCGCGGGGACCAGCTCTCATCCTGAGGCTCAGCTGTCGTGTCTTCTCTGAACCTGTGCGGCCCCTGCGGGAGGAGCAGTGAAGCTCAGCAGGTCTGGAGTCAGTGCGCAGAGTCTAGGCTTTGGGAGCAGGACTCAAGGGTCCTCCACCTTCCAGCGCAGCCCAGACGCGTCCTTCTGTGCACTCCTTGTATGTGAGCTCTCTCGAGGGACGTGTTGCCGCGTGCTCACTTGATGAGCTGTGTTAGGCTTGCTTCTCTCATCCATTCCTTCCTCACTCTGACTTTTACCTATCCTTTAGAATTATAAAAAATACGTATTTTTCAGAGAATGTGGAAACCAAATAATGAGCCCCCTCTTGGAGCGAGAAGATATAAAATGGAAAATATGCGTCTCTCTTTAAGTAGTTTGTCCAGCAGACTGCTTGTTCTGAACTGTGTATAAATGGCTTGTATTAAGAGTAGCCACAAATGTAGACTGCTCCGGGGACAAGAGCCTGCCTGCTCACCATGCAGGTTGAGACAAACAGGTCAGACTGCAGGCCAACCCAGCTTGGGGACCAGTATGTCCTTCTTATGTTCAGTGTAAAAAAGACGTGGGCTTGCTTGCCCAGGCTGCCTTTGAAGACCACACACCTGCCCTGTAACCTTCACCTCCTAGGCTTCAGCAAATTGCCTGAGGTCGTGGAACGTGTTTTTGAAGAAATAATAGTAGTTCTTGAACTCTGTACCTGTTATTTTCACTTAAGGTGTAAATGACATCGTCAGCATGTTCTTTCCTGTTCTCTTCCTTTACTCGTTCACCACAAAACTATAAAAAGCCAGAACTGCTTTTGGGGTTTTGAGGTGGCTGCTCTGATTCATTATCTCTCATTTGCAAAATAGTTTATAAGACAAATTACAAAGAATTTAAAGCACTTCCAACAGTTTCAGAAATGGAAACATAATGCAGAGTGTTTAGTCTCCACGTCCGCTCCTGCCAGCTGTCAGCTCCCTTCTCCCTTGTCCTTCTAAATGTTCTGGGGAAGGCTGGCTGGCCTTCACTGTGTAATGTTTCAAACCTTCCTTAACATCCTGGATTTTAGTCTCTTCCGCTTTCCCCCAGATGTTATCCAGGCTGTCAGCACCATTGCGGTCCACGAGAAAGAAGGGCATCTCTGGCCTAGGGTAGCCATCTTCTCGTCAGTGGCACCTGGCATCCTCCACGGGGTGAGGCTCAGCAGTCTGAAGGTCGTGGATCTGGAGTCCCAGAAGACCATGTACACCTCAGGTACTGCAACAGCTCACGCCTTGCTGGCTCCTCCAGCCAGCGTCTGCCTCCCAGCCCTGCTCGGCCATGTTTGAAATTGAATTCAACCCTGTGCGCCAAATGCTGGGTTAACAAGATGCACGAGAGGCGAGCCCTGGCCTGAGGGGCTCCTGCTCTGGGGTTTCGAGAGGCAGTCCTGGGGACCAGCACCCACCAGCTGAGTAGAATATGGCGAGATGAGCGGGCGAGGGGAGATGTGGTTCATTCTGCCTGGACTGCTGGGAAGCTTCCCAGAGGAAGGGACTTGTGACCGGCCAGTCCCTCTGACGCCAGCAGCTTTTCTCTTTCGGCCTCTGTCTTCCAGGTGTCAGTGACAGTGACGAGCTGAGCAGCCTGCAGGTCCTCGATGCACACACCTTTGCCTTCTGCTGTACCTCGGGCCGGTTGGGGCTCGTGGACACTCGCCAGAAGTGGGCCCCGTCAGAGAATCTCAGCCCCTGCCCTGGGTCCGGTGGGGGGAGGTGGTGTGCAGAAGTTGGGGGTAGGGGCCGGGGCCCTGGGCCCCACATTGCCAGCCTTGGCTCAGATGGGCATCTCTGTCTTCTTGACTGCCGGGATCTCTCCCATCCTGAAAGCTCAGTCCAGTGCGCGGTGTCCACACCCAGCCCCGCCCCAGAGCTGCTGCGAGTGACGTGGGCTCCAGGCCTGGACAACTGCCTGGCCATTTCAGGTACTGCTGAGCAGGACTTTTGTCCGTTATTTGACCTCTCTCTTCTAGGGAATACCAGGTGCTCAGGAAGAAGCTTGTAGCTCCATAATAAATCTGGCCCCAGAAGTTAAAGTTGTGCACAGAGAAGCTCTGGATTAGTTCTCCAGGTTTTTCAGCAGCAGGCCCGTCCCCATTCTGGCTACTAAACGTCCATACACTGGTAGCAGGCCTTTCCTATCCCAGCAGGAATTCAGTGCTGAGGTTGGTGGAGAGGCCTAGGACAGCTGTGGGGCTGTACCGGAAAGACATACAGATAGATGTCAAGGGCGCATCTCAGTCTGCTTGGTTTTCAAATTATAGCAAGCTGGCTAGGTCAGCAGGCTCCCAGGTCTGGCCTGGCATATCTAGTTGAATGAGGGTATTTAATGAGGGTATCCAAAAGCCAGTGGGAAGGGTAGTTGAGAGAGCAAGAAAGGGTCATTGATAACAGCAGAATCCAGAAGGAGCAGAAGAGAAGCACAGACGGGTGGAGGATTGGCTGTTTGGTAACAGGAAGACACAGGATGGAGCGAATGTGGTAGAGCTAGGTCACGGGGGGACCGGGGTGTCCCTCTCTACAGGCTTCTGTTTCTCCATCCACTAGGAGACAAGGCCATCCACTGAGAGGGACCCAGAGGTGGAGGGGTTAGAATTTGGGCAAGTGGAAAAGGTTTGAAATAGTCTCTTAAGGCTCAGTTTTGTGCAGAAAACAATAGTACCTATTTCGTACAGATGTGAGGATTAAAAGAGAGAACGCACGTCCAGCGTCAGCCTTGGGCCTGGCACATGACAGATGTCCAGTGGATGTTTGTCGCTCGTGCCTCCTGGAGCCGTCATCTGCCCACACTCAGGGCAGATGTTACGTGCTCTTCGGTTGGGCTTTAAGTATCTTGTTACTGTTTGATTCCTCATCCTATAGCCTGTTTTGGTACCATAGAGCAAATTATAGAAAGTATTTTAGAGATGCAGTGTCACTCTTCTCTTTTCTTGTTCTTCCTCAGGTTTTGATGGGACTGTCCAGGTCTATGATGTCATGTCTTGGGATGGAATGGGGGGCCAAGCAGAACCTCTCTTCACTCACAGAGGTCACGTCTTCCTAGATGGCAATGGGATAGACACTGCTCCACTGGTCACCACCCATACCTGGCACCCCCAAAAGCCAAGGACCTTGTTGTCTGCAGCGAGTGACGCCTCTCTGCACGTGTGGGACTGGGTGGACCTCCGTGCCTCCTGCTGACACCAGCATCTCTGCCCAGGCCTCTAGGAAGAGGAGGAGCTACGTAGCAAGGCTTCTGATTTAGGACTCGAGGACCACAGGTCTCTGTCACCAGCTGAGCAGCCTTGGGCAAGTTAACCAGCCTCTCCTAGCCCCAGTTTCTTTATTGCAAAATGAGACTAGTAATACCTCGCAGGGTTGTTGGGAAAAGTAGAAGTAATATGTTAAAAAGTAACTGGTAGCATGCATGGCACGATAAATATTTGGCAGCTCCTGTTGGATGTGGGAGCCCGTTTCCCACAAGTGTGAAATGCGCTGCTTTCTGCCTGTCTGTATTCACAACACCATAGTGAGAATCAGAATCAGAAGAGCTGACAAATGTAAACTTGTTTCGTTTACAAACGTTTTTATAGAACTAAAACCAATTAAGATGAAAAAAGTCAACCCCAGTAGCAATGAAGGAAATAGCAGTTAAAACAAGATTATGCCATTCTTGCCTACCAAATTGCCAAATTTTAAAGCATTATTACTTTCTACAGCTGAGAGCGGTGTCATGATGCATGTTCAACAGGAGCCAAGCAGCAGTGAGGGTCTTTCTCCCGGGCGTGTAGTGTGGCATTGTGCAGCTGCCCAGCTTACATGTCCAGGCTCCTGGGAAATGACAATTGACATTTGCTAATCTTTTGCTGTTACAAATAGTGTGAAACAACTTTTGTACCTATGAACAGTATGTCTGTAGATAAATTTCTAAGGCGGAGGATATGTGCGTTTTTAGGTTTTATAAATACTGCCAAAGTGCGCTCCGTAGAGACGGTGCCGATGTATGACGGCAACAGTCATGGCTGTTTCTCCTGCCTCACCCGCAGTCTGCCTCGTGGCCTTTGCCAGTCGCTGTGACTGGTTATTATGACGGGTCCCGTCTTGGGAGGTCAGGGAGGGACGCAGGTGTCCCCACAGCTGTGGGGGAAGGAGGTGACGCTAGTGGTTCTGATTCTCTCAATCAGCATTCGCTGCGTGTTGCTGTGCACCAAGTACCAGGCTGAACGCTGGGATACGAGACACAGACGTACAAATATGGCCCAGTAGAGGGGGAGCTGGGGGGAGCACTCAGAGGGAAGGGGCCACGTGTTCTGGGAGCACAGAGGGCGGAGTAGCCACCTCTGCTTGGTTAGAGACCAGGTGTGATCAGGGAATGTGGTACTCCACGTTGTGTCCTTCCTTCAGGCCTGGAGGGTGGGGGTGGGCGGTGTTCCAGGCACAGGAACAGACAGGAAGACAGAAGCCAGAAAGGGCGCAGCCCCAGTCTGGCAAGCAGAGGAAGTTAGAAATACAACTGAGAAAATGGGCTGTGGCCGATCAGTAATAGCCCTTGAGCCGTGCCAAGGGGCCGAGCCTGGGAGTCCCTGAAGGGCTCCGAGGGACGGGGCGGTGTGAGCCGAGAAGGGAGGCGCTGTTGCGGCTGTGAGTGAGGGCATGTAGACGCCCAGGCAGGAGAAGCAAGGATGTGCGATCAGAGGCCCCTGTCTGCGGCAGGCGTCTTCACGTGCTCTTTCACTGTTTGGGATACGTTTCATGTATGACATGCAACCAGTCAATGACGTGGCTCAGAGTTCCCCCACCCTTAGACTTGGGCAAAATGGATGCCAGGAAGTGAGTCAGACGCAAAATACATGATTCTACTCAAATGAGGTACCTTCAGTAGCCACTTCGTAGAGACAGAGAATGGAATGGGGATTGCCGGGGCTGCGGGGCGGGGGAGTGGGAGTTACTGTTCACGGGTACACAGGGTCAGCTTGGGGTGATGCAGAAATTCTGGAGTTGGATAGTAGTGATAGTTGCACAAAATGTGAATGTACTTAATGTTACACTTAAAAATGGTTAAAATGGTCTTTTCGTGTGTGTGTGAGGAAGATTGGCCCTGGGGCTGGCCCCATGGCCAAGCGGTTAAGTTCGCACGCTCCGCTGCAGGCAGTCCAGTGTTTCGTTGGTTCACATCCTGGGCGCGGACATGGCACTGCTCATCAAACCACGCTGAGGCAGCGTCCCACATGCCACAACTAGAAGGACCCACAATGAAGAATATACAACTATGTACTGGGGGGCTTTGGGGAGAAAAAGGAAAAAATAAAATCTTTAAAAAAAAAAAAAACATTCGCCCTGAGCTGACATCTGTTGCCAATCTTCCTCTTTTTTTTCCTCCCCAAAGGCCCAGGACATAGTTGTATATCCTAGTTGTAGGTCATTCTAGTTCTTCTATGTGGGATGCCGCCTCAGCGTGGCCTGATGAGCAGCACATAGGTCTGCACCCAGGATCCGAACCAGCAAACCCTGGGCTGCCAAAGTGGAACGTGTGAACTTAACCACTCGGGCAGGGGGCCGGCCCCTAAAATGGTAAACTTCATGTTATGTATATTTTGCCACAATTCTTAAAAAGTGGATGCCGGGCCTCACTCCAGCCCTTCCTAGCTGTGCCCTTCTCACACAGCAAGAAGTCCACAGGGCCAAGGCTTTGTGCCCATCTGTACCCACAGATCCTACATTCCTCTTCCAGATCATCTTCCAGGAACCTAGGACCCAGAATTCCCTGTGCAAATGGCCATAGCTGCCGCCAGGGCCTGCACAGCCTCTTCCAGTCCCAGCCTCTCAAGGGCAGACCATGCAGTTAGCGTGTGCACTCTGGGCCCGAGAGGTGGCCAAAGGCTGTTTATGGAGAGTGTGGACAGGGCTTGCGTGTACAGACCAGGGTATGCACACACTTGCAGAGAGGCCTCTCCCACGTCAGAGCCGGGGATGGGAGAGAGCAGGGGAGGGCAGAGGATGGCTCCTCCCACACCACCAGTTTCCATCGTGGAACTCGTGGGAACCCCAAATTTCAAATTCAAAACCTGGCTTCATCACTCCACATCCTCTAGGATGGCTATAATCGAAAAGACAGACTAGAACAAGTCTGGGGAGGCTGCAGAGAAATCGGAACCCTCATACGCCGCCTGGTGGAAATGTAAAATGGTGCAGCCTCTTTGGAAAATAAGTCTGACAGTTCCTCAAAAGGTTAAACGTCGAATTATCATATGACCCAGCAGTTCCACTCCTAGGTATTCATCCAAGAAAATTGAAAACATATGTCCACACAAAGACTTGTAAAGACTGGTACATGAATGTTCATAGCAGCGTTATTCACAACAGCCAAAAGGTGAAACAAGCCAAATATCCACCAACTGAGGACAGAATTAACAAAATGCGGTGGATCCATATGATGGAATATTATTAGACCAGAAAGAGGAATGAAGTACTGATACATGCCACAGCGTGGATGAACTTTGAAATCATGAGGCTGAGTGAAAGATGCCAGTCACAAAAGGCCACTTATTGTGATTCCATTTATCTGAAATGTTCAGAACAGGCAAATCCATAGAGACAGAAAGTAGAGTAGTGGTTGCCAGCGAATGGGGGGGCGGTAGGGAATGGGGAGTGACTGCTAATGGGTAGACGGTTTTCTGGGATGATGAAAATGTTATAAAATTGGGTAGTGGCAACAGTTGTGCAATTTTATAAATGTACTAAAAACAACCAAATTTTAAACTTAAAACCCCAGAAAAACCTGGCCTTCCACATCATAATGAAGTATAGTTGTCAAGGTGGGAGGATAATTTAACAGTCTGTCAGCTTGACTTATAATTCTTAATAGTTAACCCTGTGTTACAGCGTGACCCTCCATTTGTCGGCGTTGCCCAGGGTCTCACTGTGTCGGGGACAGGCCCTGGGTCTGCAGCTGGGGCTAAATGTTTTGAGTGATGGCGAGGTGTTTGGAGAATCAGACTCGGAATCAGGAGTGACAGTTCAACCGCCTCCTTGTTTGCAGAGGAGAACATGGAGCACAGAGGGGTGACGCGGCCTGGACAGGAAGGGAGTCCCCTCAGTTTAATGGACCAGCGAGCCATTCCAGCCAGGGCATGTGGCCCGGAGCAGCTGTGGGAGACGGGATCCTGCTGCTTGCAGCAGGTTTTGATCCCATGGGCTTTCAGCCTGTAAGCATCTCACAGGCCTGAGAGAGATGCGGTCCTTACCTAATGGGCCATGGAAGAGATTCTCAAGTGTAATTTTGACCCTACACAGTCATTTCTATGTACTGACTTTACGGCCCACCCCCTACATAATCTGTGGCTCCCAACAGTTTGTACACTTGGGAGGCTGATATCACATGGTGGTTAAGACCCCTGCATTGGAGTCAAGCCAATCAGGGCCCAAGTCCCAGCTCTGCGTTCGGTTTCCCCCTTGTAAAGAGCCTCATCAAGGGCAGGCCCAGTGGCATAGTGGTTAAGTTCACACACTGTACTTTGGAGGCCTGGGGTTTGTGGGTTGGATCCCAGATGCAGACCTACACACTGCTCATCAAGCCATGCTGTGGCAGTGTCCCACATACAAAATAGAGGAAGATTGGCACAGGTGTTAGTGTGGCAGACAATCTTCCTCAAGTAAAAAGAGGAGGATTGGCAACAGATGTTAGCTCAGGGCCAGTCTTCCTCACACGCACACACACAGAAAACGCTTAATCATAGAACCACCTCGGGGGGGTGGCTGAGATGGTTAAATGAGACCCTGCAGTGAAGTGCTTAGTGTGGGGCCTGACATACCAGGAATAGTCGGTAAATGTAGCTGTGTTGCTTCTCACTCCACGTTCTCGACTGGAGGACTGATACAGCTGTGTTGAAGGACTGCAAAGCTGAAATCCTGGGGAAAAGTAAAAGGAGGTCACACTCTCTGGGGGTGGAGCAGAGTTATCAAGGCAGATGAGCTGGAGCCCCCTTCTGGGCCAGCCTGGGTCATGCTCACCAGCGATAGCGGCATTTGCAAGGCCCACAGGGCCTGTTACATTCTTTGCAGACATCAGTCCCACAGAGTCTCCGCCCTGGGGCCTAGAGCCTAATGATAAAGTTGATAAAAACGTGTCTCCCTTTGACCATTCCACACCCAGAACTCCCTTGGAATTCATTTATTTAATGGGTTAATATACTTGCGTCAGCTTTGGCTGGCAGGATTAGTGCCCTGAAACCCAGCTCTTGTGTTTCTTGCTATCTGTAGACAAGAATAAGAACCAGTATTTTTGCTGAGTTTTTTCAGAAAAAATTTTGCAATACATAACTTGATTGATTAATCATGTCATCTACTGCAACGTTTATAATAATATAAGTGAATTTCATGCATTCCCAGTTATAACTTTCATCTTTATTTTTATCTTGAGGAGTCTCCAAGCAAATGGCTTCCAAAAGCCACCCTGCTTGTCTGGGTGACATACTTTGAAGCTGTGACCATGAGTTTGAATTGAGTTAAAAATAGGAGCCTCCAGAACCTTGCTCACGCCAAGTACAGTGGTAGACAAAAATAAATCAGAACGCTCTTGAGCAAGATAATGGATGGCTGCAGTTTTGAATCAAACCTAGGCCACTGTCGAGACCATCCTGGTACATGTGGTTCCCTGGGAAACAGGCCCACGTGGCTGAACCACAGTTTACCTCAGTGTTTGTGGGGAGCACTCCATCTAGGAGCACTAACAGCAAACACTGCTGGAAGCAGCTGTCTGTCACGTCATCTCGCTCTGAGGATTGTAAAATACGCATCAAACATCTACAATCTCCAGCTCAGTTTTCCCATTATTTTGTTCCATTCCAAAGAAGTATGATGCCAAAAGTTTCCGAAAGGGAATCTGGTTATTTCCAGTCTTTTTATAATGCAGAGCTACGTTAGGTTTTAGTGTGATGAATTTCCCCCCAAGTAAAGACTTTCTCATTGAAAAGAGTGAAATAATTTAAAATAATCCATAGCGGATTTATTTCCTGGCCATACAAAAAATTCTAAACTCAGGGGCATGCCTGAAGTGCACTCCACTTCAGCGGCCCAGGGTTTCACCGGTTCAGATCCTGCGCGCGGACATGGCACCGCTCCTCAAGCCATGCTGAGGTGGTGTCCCACATGCCACAACTAGAAGGACCCACAACTAAACATACACAACTATGTACTGGGGGGCTTTGGGGAGAAAAAGGAAAAATAAAGTCTTTAGAAAAAAAAATTCTGAACTCAAATTTCTAGGATACTTTGAAAACCATCTCCAAAAAGAGGCTCTTTGAAAAGTCTCCTCAATAACAAAACATTGACATCCTTTGAAGGGATTCTATTTTTGGAAAGGAGATAGTGGGCAGAGCCAAGTCTCACAGATAAGAGAGATGATCAGGCCAGATAATAAACAAGCGGGTCACTCTGTCTGCATTTATTAAGCCTACCCATGTGTAAGACACTGCTGTATGTGCTGGAAATCCATGGATGTGAGGCTTCCTAAGGCCATTTGAAGACAATTCTTAAAGAAAAACTCTTTTTAAACTTTTAAAAAAATTAAAGAATGTCTTTAATACAACATATATTGTATTAAAATATATATATATAACAACATATAAAGCCCACAGCCCATCAAAATGACTACTTTTGACAGACACCACTTAGGTAAGTCTTTATTTCTTTAAAAAGACATTACTTAATAATCATATTTTGTAAGTCTAGTCAGATAAAATTATAATTTGTGTAGACTGTGCTTTGTTTAATAATTGATGGGTTTCTGGAAAGTTGGGAATATTTTAAAATCAAACACACAAAGGAAACTATTTTAAGAGCGAGAAACTGTGTTCCATTTATTTCCGAGCACCATTCGCTCTGTACGTCAGAGTCCCTCCAAGGGCTCTGCCGAGATGCCCAGATCTCCAGGAGCCTATTGACCTGTACGCGCCTCCCCGGAAGGATCTGAGCACAAATGGGAACTAGTGGGTTTGTCAGAGGCAGGTGACGTACAGGAACGCCTCCAACCAGGAGTCTTCTCCATCGATGCCACGGTTCGTAGTTACTGCTCTGGATGTATTTACAAACACTAAGGCTTTACCCACATCATCATCCTGGTTCCCAGTCTTCTAGACCCAGTCTCACATTTTTAGGATACAGGATGAGCTGTAAGGCTCTCCAACAGCCCTGCTAGCCATTCGGAGTCATTCTACCACGTAAAAATTCTGTTTAGGTTGAACCATGAAATTGCTGGCTTTGTGGGTCAAAAATGGCAGTCTCTCATGGTTCAACCTACTATGTTGAGAGGAAGAGGAGGTTATGGTTTAGAAAGCCAACCTCTAGTATTGATGTTTTCTTCTTTTCCCTCCTCCAAATAATCTACTAGAGCGCTTTCCTCTCAAGTAACTCCATTTCAATCTCAAGAAAAGGAATGTGGGAAAGGCAGCCAGTTCCTGGGCCCCATTCTTCCCATAGGAAGAACAGTGGAAGACCTTTAAAAACGTATTCAGTTTTATAAGTCCTTGTCCACCGCCCAGTGCTGAGAAGAAACGGCTCGGCCACTGCTGGCTCTCATGGCCACCCAGGCTGTCATCTCATGGCTGGCTCTCGTGGCCATCCAGGCTGTCAGCACACGAGGCTGGGGCCCCCTCTGTCTTTCACAGAGGGTCTCAGGGACAAGGACGTCACCCTCATGTTACCAGCTGTGAAAATTAAGGCACAGAATCACAAGGAGGACACACTGAGATGGCGATCCAGTCAAATTCAGAATTAGTCCCTGAATTCTCTAGAAATTAGCTTCCACTTCACCAGCATGGATAAGAAAGCCCTGAGTAGTATTGCATAAGCCCAGTGAGTATGTAGTGAGACGAACAAAATAGGTCTGTCAGGCTGGATCTAAATTCTCTCTGCACCTGCTATGGGTGTCGTGATACAGAATCAAGGGCAATACAAACCCTATTTTGGGCTGGATTCCGCAGTGTTTTCAGACTTGATGCTTCACAGTTATTTCTCCCACATTTGGAGCCTCTCTCCCACGTGGGTCCTCCGATGGGCACTAAAGTGTGAGCTGTTGTTGAATCGCCTTCCACAGTCAGCACACGCATAGGGCTTCTCTCCCGTGTGGATCCTCTGGTGGATAATAAGACTTGAGCTCTGATTGAAGCTCTTCCCACACTCTCCGCATTTGTAGGGTCTCTCTCCAGTGTGAATGCGCCGGTGGGTAATAAGGTTTGAGCGGTCGCTGAAACTCTTCCCGCATTCAAGACACTCGTAGGGTTTCTCTCCTGTGTGGATCCTCTGGTGGCTGGTGAGAGTGGAGCTCTTACTGAACTTTTTCCCGCACTCAGGGCACTGGTAGGGTTTGTCGCCAGTGTGCGTTCGCCAGTGGGCGCTGAAGTGCGAGCTACTGGTGAAACTTTTTCCACACTCACTACACTTATGGGGTTTCTCTCCTGTGTGGATTCTCTGGTGCATGATAAGGCTTGAGCTCTGGTTGAAGCTTTTCCAGCACTCTCCACATTTATAGGGCTTTTCTACAGTGTGGATTGTCTGGTGAGCCGTGAGGTTAGGGTGATCGCTGAAGCCTTTCCCACAGGCGGGGCACGCGCAGGGCTTCCCCCCGGTGTGCATCCTCTGCTGGCAAACCAGACGGCGGCTCCGGGCACAGCTCCTCCCACAGCAGCCACATTTGTAAGGCCTCTTCTCTCCACTGTGGGCGAACCTGTGGGCAGCTGAGTGTGAGCTCTGGCTGGAATGTTTTCCACATTCACAGTGTATGTTGGATTTTTCTTCTACATAGGTTCCCTGAGGACCTATGAATTTACCTAAGTCTCTTTCTGGAGGAGAGAGCCACCCTTGTCCATCTTCTAAGGGTATTTCCCATTGCTTTTCTGCCTCATATTCACTTTCCTGGTCTTTCTTCCAATTAAAGGACTGGGAGACATCCATTTTGGATCTTTCTAACAACGCCCCGGGGAGTCCTACTTCCTCTGAAATGTCCTGGCTCAAGTTCTCCTCATTCTCTGTCCTTGTTTCAGGATCTGAAAGGATGAGATAAGATGCAAATGTAACTTGTTTTCTGAGTTCAGAAGAATGGAAACACTGTAAAAGAGGGCCTCACTAGATGCTTAGAAACAAGTTATTGGTGGTGACAGATGGAGCACAGTCAACCTTCCATCACCCGGGAATGAATAACATGGAATGTGGCTGAAGCACGGTTAAGACCAGCAGACGTCCAGGCTCCCTCCCTCCCTCGGTGTCTAAACAAGAGGGTCACGTGGAGAAAGGCTGAGAACAAGGAGGGAGACAGGTCCAGGCCCATTCTCCTTCTTCAGTCACAGCCCCTCCCCACTCCCCAGAGGCTCTGCCCCCAAGCTTGGCTCCTCCTCCCTGCCCACTGGCCTGTGGACTAGCCACCAGTACTAAGAAGCTCCCTTTCTCTTCTGGATGCTGCCTTCTAGGTGGAGGGACACGCCTTCAACAATTCTCCTGCCTCTCCCCATTCCCTTCCTCAGAGAGGAAGGGATGACTGATCAACAAGGAGCTGCGTGCACGTGCTCAGATCCGCAGCGAAGGCTGTCCCTGCAGGGCAAGGCTGTGCTTGGCTAGCGCAGCCTCCGGCTCGACTCTGGGGTCAGTGTTAGGCCGTCCACTGTGGCCGCACATCTCAGCCCCATTCTCTACCAGTTAGAAAGCTGCCGTTTGATCTCAATGCCTTACTCTGATGTCTCTCTCAGCTGGGCTGGAATCTGAGTGGGGAAGAACAGCACTCTTTATCGGATCCCTTAAAATTCCAGCAAAATTACTGAGCCCCACCAAGAGGGGAGCTCATCTTAAGCATGGGAATTTCACCCCTCCAATAATCAAGGTGGACCGTCGTTTGAATTTGGGGTCATCCATGCTCACTTTTTCTATTAACCTGGTTAAGTGATAGTTAATTATAGTTAAAATTCAGATTGAAATTTAAGAGGGAAATCAAAAACATTAATTACTTGTTTGTCTATATTAGGTAACTAAGGGGAATAGACTTTCCTGGGCACCACCTGCTTCTCTGTTCTTCTCCCAAATCCCGTAGTTTCAGCCCCAGAGAACAATAAGCCGGGAAATACGGGAAGGCCAAGGGCCTGGGCTCCTCTCCCAGGCTCGCCCAGTGCTGGCCTGTCCATGTCCAGAATTCCAGGTCTGCCTTCTTTGCTGGTGGAGTACTAGCTTTCACTCATTTCCCACCTGCAGAGGAGGTTTCCCGAATTTCCTCGAAGACCCAGGGACCGTGACTCCAGAGCTCTGCACTTCTCTCCAGCCTTGAGAGCCCATCTGGCTGGGGACCTGGAAGCCCTGTGCAAGGAAAGGCAAGAAGGGACGGGAGTGCTTGTGTAATTTGCTTTCATTCTCATATCTGGAAGGAGAATGGAAGCACCTCCCAGAAAGGTCTAGTTTTTGGAAGAAAAAGTTTAGTTAATGACTCAGGAAATTTGCCCCCTTAAGTGAGGAGACAGGGCAACGTGCTTACCTATTTTAACAATAATTAGAACGATGATGGTAGTGAAAGCTAACATTTGCTGAGTGCTAACAATGTGCCAGGGTCCTCACGACAGCCCAGTGGGGTAGATAGCATCACCACGTCCACGTTACAGACGGGAAGATGGAGGCTCGGGGTGTGCAACCAACTCGCCCAAGAGCAGACAAGTCTTTAAGTGGCCGACTGTTGTATATAATATGCCCAGAGTTCACATCTGTGGGGGACTTGAGATGGAAACAAACAACTAAAACTTTACGTGACGCTGACCTCTCTGCCCCGTTTCTATAATATTGTTACTGAATGAGGCAGGGAATCCCTTTGCTGGAGAGCAGACCAAACCCTCAGAACGGTCTTCGTGAGTCACCCCAGGCTGCTGGTTCAGGGCACAGTCGATTCTAGCAATATTTGAGGACAGGCAGTAAATACTGTTCCTCTAAAGAAACCAACAATTCTCCTGACAAGCCTTTCCAGATAGAGGTTAGTGACAGCGAGTGACAGACAGCAATCAGCCTGTCTCCATGCACGGTCCCTAATGCTTCCCACGGGCCTCCGTCTTTCCTGCTGTTCCGAGGCGCACTGCGGAGGAGAGCTTACCACTGGGCCTCGTCCTCAAAGCCGGGGGGCCAAGGCTCCTGGGCTCCTCTTCCACTTTGTTACCATCCCCTGTCACACCTTCCAGCATTGCCTTCGAGTTCTCTTTGGAGTCCCCTCGATCCTGCAGAAGGGCCCCCGCCACCTCTAAGGCGTCAAAGGTGTCGGCGAGGGCCCAGGGACCCAGCAGGGCGTCCATCTCGTCATAGAAGGGGCAGGTGCCTGGAGCGTGGATGCTCCTGGCTTTGCGGTAGTTGGTCTGGAGGTTTTTGAACCGGTAGCGACACTGCTCCAGGGTCCGTAAGAAACCACATGCCCGCAGCCGCTCGGCCACAAGCCGATACACTTGGCGGTTCCGATGGCAGGTGCGGAGTTTCTCATGAATGTAGGGCTCACCGAGAATTCCCAGGAAAATTTTAGTTTCTTCGTAGCCCCAGTGCACACCTGGGGGAAAGGGGCAGAGGTGAGCTAAGACAGGCTGCTGGTCTGTAATGAACGCAACAGAAGACCCCCACTCCCGCCCACAGCACGTTAGTGATTTCCCAAGAAATCATCCAGTGGGCTCTTCCCTCCGTGACAGGACTTGTTCTAACGTTATGCACATATTTATTTTTATACTTATAAACATTATTCTTATATAATAGTTCTTTTTCTCTATTACATAAGTGAACAAAGGCTTTCTCATTTATATATAAAAACAGTCTTTCCTTGCCCTTTCCAAACTATTGTAATACACACCGAATCCACATGGTGCTTCAAAAATAACTGGTTGCAATGAGGTTCTTTCCAAACCCCGCTAACAACTAGGGCTTCCCCTCTTGCTCACGTAAGGGCTTACCAGTAGGGCTCCGAAACAGGGCTGGGAGACCAGGGCTTGCAGACCCTTCTTCAGCACCCAGTTCTTCCCCCTCAGAATCGTCCGTCACAGCCTCTGAAGGCCCTTCTACAGATGCTGCTCTGCGGCCCAGGCTCCGATCCTGCTTCTCTGATCCGCCTCCTAACACAGCCTTGGCCAGCGCTGCCGCCTCCTGGTCCCAGCAACCACTCTGCAGCTCTTCCTGCTCTGTGTCATGGTCCCTCTGCCCAAGCACACCCCCTGCCACCTCTAGAACGGAGGTGGCAGCCCGTGGGCACATGAGGGCATCCATCTCATCATAGAAGGGGCAGGTGTCTGGCATATGAGTGCTCCTGGCTTTGCGGTAGTTGGTCTGGAGGTTTTTGAACCGGTAGCGACACTGCTCCAGGGTCCGCAGGAAGCCGCGCTCTCGCAGCCGCTCGGCCACAAGCCGGTAGACTTGGCGGTTCCGATGGCATGTGCGGAGTTTCTTGTGGATCCAGGACTCACTGAGAATATCCAGAAAAGTCTTCGTTTCCTCATAGCCCCAGTGCACCCCTGCCACCTTCTCATCCTCCAGACCCTGCCACTCCAGCTCGTCCCAGGTCTTGGCTTTTCTCAAGATGGGCCCCTGGCCAGGCTTGACTCTTCCCGCCGCCACCAGGGTGTCTCTCACACTCTCATCTCTGGAGTGCTGAAGATCTGGGCTCTCTGGGCTTTCCTCCTGCTCCACGTGGGAGCTCACACTGGGTCTGTGGGCTGGGAAATCTGTTTGCAGGGAGACAAACGAAGACATGATGGCTTAGTGAGTCTAACTCCCACTACTTTATATGCCAAGGAGGGGAGATAGTAATTTTTTTTAAAAATCTAAGGGGATTCTTGGGAAGGTTCAGTGACAGTAATATTAAGGACTACTGTGAGGGGACAATAAGAAAAACATCTGGGCTCAAATCTATAACTTATATCCATATTCATCTACCCTGTAACAAATAAATTCAGGCAGCTGCCAAAGGCTTTACTGATCTTCTGCCTAAGATGAGCTTCAATCCAATATACTTTCTAGTCTCAAGAAAATCATCCTAGACAGCACAGACTGTGATAATGGATGTATACGTCCTTTTCAAGCAGGACTAAAGGAAGGATCTGAAAAGTTCAGCCCAAAAGGGTCTGGAGTGGTGAATGCTACAGAAACCCCACAGCTCACTTTAACTCCACAGGAGAAAGCTGGTCTTACCTAGCAAGGCCCTCTTGGCAGAATTCTCCCAAGTTACTTCCCGGTGGCTCCTCTGTCCAGATTCCAGTTGCCTCTGTGCCTCCTGGGAGACATACACAGTCACATCACCAAACGTCACCAACTCCTGAGAAAACCTAACACCCCCACCCAAAACACGCTGCCGTAGGACAAAACGACCCTGTATAGCCTGGGTCAGAGGCAGGTGGCAAAACGGACTCAGAAGAAACTAAAACGTGAGTTCCTGTGGCTTTTAAATGCAATGAGAGGGGCAAGGAGAGGGAGAAGGGGGAGAGAGAGAGAAAAGGAAGAAATAAGCTAATATTTACTGAACATCTACGCTCTGTGCCAGAAACTCTTCACACTTGTTCAGAGTTACACAGTGAGGATGTGCCACAGCCGGGATTTGAACTCAGGCTGTCTGCCTCTGAAGCTTTGGTTTCTCCCACTTCACAATCCTGCATGCCGTTTGGGCAAGATCCAGATACAGAAAGAAGGAAGTAACCCTTACCTCTAAGGCAAATAAGCAAATCAGGATAATCTGACAGTCTCAGGGTGAAGGAAAAGAATGACTTTAATATGACCCCTCACTACCTCAGCCGTGGTGCTGTCTCATATGAGGAAGGAGATCTGGGCAGCATTTTGCAGGCTGATGACATTTCGGAGCCTTATCTGTAAAGTCACGGGGCCTCCGTCCTGGGTAAAACTCCTTTGGAATTTCTGATAGGTGAGAGGGTTGGTGCAGAGGGCCCCACTCGAGCAGCAAAAGGTAACTCGAGTTAGAGAAAAGCCTGGCTCACCTGGGAGCTGCTCATCGTCCTCTGGTCACCACTGCTCTCTTCCACAGGAAGGCCCAGAGCACAAGCATCAGGCAGGGCTGAGGGAAGAGAGAGGAGCTGTTAGAGGACAACGGTTCTCAACAGCCCCCAGCCCAAATGAGTTCAGAAGTAGAAGAGTCTTTCTCCTTCTCTTAGTGTCTACTCTGTGCCATCAAAGGAGAGTTGGCAAAAAACCTAAATGACACATTTCTAAGGGGAGAGTTCCAGATCTTCCCCCTCCATATCCACCCCGGTTACTGACTGTCAGGGTTTTATGATTTCTTTCTTCAGTTCTGATAACACTTGAATCACCTGGACTGGTTTGGGGACACACATACCTGTTGTGAAAATTACTGCACTTGAGTTTAACCCTATCCTGTGCCTTTCCCACTAACCAGACCTAAAAGCAGTACCCAACCTAACCTGCTGGGACCAGCAACCTCAGTCACATGAGGAGAGGTGCCATAGGCCCCCCGATGCCGTTTCATATAACATGCCAGCCAAGGTCCTTCTTTCCGTGGAGACGCCTAGTTAGGATCCCACTATTCGAGTGCTCAGCCTCAGTTCATGCGCCACCTCCTCCAACGGGAAGGAGCTGTGCCCTCGACCCCACTTGCTGCGCTCAGAGGGCACTTTCACACCTTCCCCACAGAATGGCCCCCCTTCCTCCCCACACTGCCGCTTCTTACCACTCTTGTGGAAGCATAGGACTTCTACTCCGGGGTCGTGGTTCAATTGTTCTTCTGGTTCTGGCTGTGAGTTCTTCACCATTGCCTAGAACAGACACGTGGATTCTGGGTATGCTTGCTTCAGATGGATGTTTAGGGAACCCAGTTCTGGTCCTGAGGGTTCCTTCTCCACTGAGAGCAACTCCTGCCCCTGTTCAAGGACTAGAAGTGGTCAAAATGCTGTAGGCACTAAAACCCAATTATCCCAAGGCACAAAGCAGCAAAGGGGCCGTCAGTCTCATGCACATCACTGCAGGGGTCGTAAGGAGTGGGGATGTGGGAGGCTTCATAGAGATAAGGTCTGGAACCCAGGCCCATGGCAATCTGCCCCCCGACTCTCCTGGAGCTGCTCCCATCAACCCCTAGGCAAGACTCAGAGAGCCAACCAATACAGCTATTTTGCAATAGGACCCAAAGGCTCAGTAATGTCAATAAAGACCAGTGAAGCCCCTTGCTTCAGGCTAGCTGCCGCTGAGGGACAGCTGTTCTCCAAACAGAAAACAGCTTTTATGTGCTCCCCCTTGACCAGAGTGGTGCTCAAGCTATTTTAAGCTATTGTCTTACTGAAAGGCAGGGACTACCAACACTCACACCAACCAACCTTGTGCATTCTCTAAAGAGTCAGTCTCAACTTGGAAGGACAATGCCAGCTACCAGGCCCAGGAAATAAGCAAATTCCACTTTGACACAAACAGCCAAGTACTGGACAGCACCCATACTGCTGCCAACCCGAGGCGGCTCTGTCTCGCACATTCCTCTGTTTTAACCACTTAGACCCAGGCTCCCATTTCTCACCTGTAGCCCCTGTCTTCCAGGTTCTTTCTGCAAGTCTTCCACCAGGCCCACTGCCTCCTCTCCACTTTCTGGATGCTTTTGTCTAACCCAGATCTGGAGCTCCTGGGGAAGGACAGTCAGGAACTGCTCCAGGACTAGCAACTCCAAGATCTGCTCTTTTGTACACTTCTCTGGTCTCAGCCACTGACGGCAGAGCGTCCGGAGTTGGATGAGGGCCTCCCGGGGTCCAGATGCTTCTTGATAGCGGAAATGCCAAAAGCGCTGGCAGGAGGTCTCTGGTCCGGGGTTACTCCGTTGAAGGGAAGTTTCCTGCACCCAGGCCGAATCTTCTTCCAGCTTCACTATTCGAAGCTCTTCTTGTACTTGAGAAGCCGGAATTTGTCGGTCCACAGACACAGCCATAGTTCAGCTCAGAGAAGAACCTTGCAACTGTGCTTTGAAGCCCAAACCTTTTCCTTTGCCTCACTGGGAAGCCACCTTCAGACAGGAGTCACTACATACGACTTGAAATCCTAGAGCCAGAGACATACATTACACGGCGAACGTTAGTGAAAATCACAAGTGTTAGCCCAGTAGGATTGAGGTGAAGAAAAGAGCCTTCCCTTCCTCCCCTCCCCATGTCCTGGTGCCCCTGGGGTCTAGCCGTCGGTCACTCGGGGAGGAAGCTCCAGGAGTTCGACGGGAGGGGTCAAGGGGTGATCTGCTTGGAAAGTAGGGGAGGTTGAAGCTGTGCTTGCACAGCGATTGACTTAAGGCTGAGAAAATGTCAAGTATCCATACTGAAGAATGAGGATGGGCTGCTGGAGAGAAGAGGGACAACAAGCCACCCACTCTCGCAAGCCACTGGCCTTCCGAGCGTTGCAAAGTGCATGCGCAGGACAAGCTCGAGACGGGACGGCGCACACAGTAGCAGCACCTTGGAGAGCAGCACCTGGAGGAGCTGGCTCCCCGATCGCGCGGGCGGTGCACGCGCTCCGGCCGCTAAACGGCCCCCGGTCCTGGCCGGGTTCTCAGCTTTGGGCGCCCCGTGCAGGGTTCCTCAGTCCTGAGGCTTCATAACTCTCTCCCAGACGGGGAAAGGGGTACAAGGTACAAGAGCAAGGATAACAAAAACAGACTCGCAGGACGTCCGAGTTGGACGGAAAGTTGAGATACTCAGCCCTCAACTTCCCCAAAGCGGAGACAATCACGGCTCAGAGACCCCCAGGGACTTGTCCAAGGCCACACAGCCGGCTGATGGCAGGGAACGGACAGCGGCTCGGCCGTCTGACCGCGGACTGGGTGACCAGCCCGCAGAGCGTGACTTACACTGCAACGCTGCTCTGCTGCGCGGGCGACCTTCTCTGGAAGCTTTATGGGGTCAAGGCGGGCCGGGGCGCGGCTACAGGGCCACGGTCGCCCCCGCTAGGCCCGGGGGGCGGCGAGAAGGAGGGCGCCGCCAGCACGAGGAGTGCATCCCGCCCCGGGCGCGCTCGCGGGGACGCGCAGCCTGGGCCGGAGGCCGCCGGACCCCCGGTCTCGGCCCGGCCACGCCCACCCGGCGACGGCGGCCCAAGCCCGAGCTGAGAGCCGCTCCCGCGCGCCGAGGCCCTGCAACTACGGGCGGCCTGACCCCGCGGGACCTTCCCCGCGGCCGCGCAATGTCCCCACAGGGCTCTCGAACCCGGAGTCCAGACCCGGGGTCTCGGCATTCGGACGTCCACTAAACACCGGAAGCGGAAACGCGAGCCGTGAAGGAGTCGGTCTTCTCCGGACTACATTTCCCATAGGCCTCCGCCTATGCCCCAGACTGACAGCAGCATTAACCAATAAAATGTGGGGATGGTTTAGGGGGCCTATTTGTTTCGGAGGAAGGATTGATGATGGGTGGGACTTTCCCACATGCTGGGTTTCGGGGTCCCGAGCAACGACTAGAAGTGACCCAGCGGAGAGGGTGTGGTCCTACCTCGCTTCCCCCTTCCCGCGGGAATTAGGGGAGGTGGCGGCCTCTCGCGCTGCGCATCCCAGGGGACGCTGAGAGAGGGGACCTTTTCCAAAGCCTGTGCCTTGCAGCTGAGAGCGGGTGTTTATCCCTGTTAATCCCTCTTTATCCCTATTATACAAGCGAATAAACCCAGGCAGCTTGGGCCCGAGGTCTCTCAGGGTGGAGATAAGACGGCAATTCAGATTTTTTGCCACTTAAGAAAGTACTTTTCTGGCATGGTTGTCCACTGTGGTAATTCTTCACCACCACAATCCTCCCGCTCACCCGAGACACACACACATCCTCATTTCCTGGGTGCACAGTCCTGGGAGGATCAAGATGAATACCATGGATGCGTATTCATTCATCAATTGTGGAGCATCTGCTTTAGGCCAAGCAAAACACACCCTCCTCTTAAGGAGAGCGAGCAGTCCAGCAGAGGATGCATTTTCTAAAATGCGGCCGTGAAGGACCCAAATAACTCCAATGCAGTGTGATAAGTGCTAAATGGACGTGCGTTCAAAGTAAATGACTGGAAAGAAATACTGCAGAGCGGCTGAGAAAGCCCAGGAGGGCAGGAGGTGCAGTCTCAGGGAAAGGGGCAGGAAAATGTATTTTATTGAGCACCCACGTTGCATATTTAATCTGGTTTGGTTCTGACAATGAATCCTGCAAAGTGGGTCCCGCTCCCTATTTAAAAGATGAAAGGTCCAAAATCCGGTCGAAGGTGGGTGGAGCTGTGGTTCCCCTCACAGGAGGGGCAGCCTGTGGGAAGGACAGGATGACGAGAGGGGCTCTGCAGATAGTCCTCAATCCAGTTGGGAGCCTGGCCATGGAGATTTCTTCTATCCTCTGCTCTTGGGAACGGGTGTTCGGAGAGGGCTAGTGCGGAAACTCAGGCCAGCGCTTCCACGCACACACACCTAGCTTTCAAACCCTTCCCGGGACCAGCCTGGAAGTTCCATGGGTCTGCCTCAGGGACCGGCTGGGTGGGGCAAGAGCCTAGCCCAAGAGAGGACTTTGGGTTCCCACCGAGCCATCAGAGCAGCTCTGCTTTTACATGTTTTCTATTACTGGAGGACTTCACTTGAAAAGACGGTCTACTGTTAAAAAAATTAAATAAAATTGAAAATTACTAATCCAATCCATGCCCCATTCCCTTAACTCAGGGATCTCCTGAGCACATGGAACTTTCACCGGAGGCAAGATCAAGCATGGAAAGGGCAGCCCCAAACACAACTCATCACCTTCACATCAACACCATACCCCGTACTTCAAGGGAGAAGACAAGCATGCACGTCCTCGAGCTGTGAGTCACAGTCCCGAAAGAATGGGACTAAAGGGCCCCCCATAGTCTACATAGATGAGATGCTTGCCTACTTGCAGCTTCCTGGTCCCTCAGAGGACAGCTGGTCTCAGAAACCGAGACAGGTCCAGTCTTTGTGAAAGCACCCTCCATCTAGGTCAGAGCTGTCAATGCCACAGAGAATAGGGTTTCAAGGTCACTGCCATACAGAGTGACTAAACTCTTCCCAGCAGCCTTCTGGAATGGGAAGAGCAAGGATTGTCAGCAATTTTGCAGATGAGGAAAAGGAGGCCTCCAGAAGTGATTTGCTCTAGTCACACTGCTAGTTAGTGGCACAGGTGTGTCTAGAACCAGGTCCATCAGGTCTCTTTGGCTCCCAATACTCCATTCACCACACCACAAATTTCAGGACAGGAGCAGGGGGAAGAGAAACAGGATGTACTGTCTCTGAAAGCCAGCACCATAGGGGACGACTGAGAGAGGCAAATGTCAACAGGCCAGTTTCAGCAAGAGTTTGGTTTCTAGATCATTGATATTTTGAGAAAAACGCTGCACAGAGGTGTTGATAAGCAGTGCATAAAGGAGACAAGGATTTCGGATGAAGGAAATAAGCTTATTCTCTAAGAGTTCAACTAATTACAGCCACACGTAATGAGCAAAAACTAATGTCTCCTAGGCCCATGGATCATCCACTTAACGCCAACTTAACCAGTGACACTAACCTATCTGCAGAAGGGGACACGTTCAGCAGGGAAACCTGGAAGGAGGCGTCAACAAGGCAATCTTGGGCACTGAGCAGACGGCACTGGGCGGCAGGGAAGAGCAGTGGGACTTTGAAGGGTACCGCTCATCACCTGAGCGGTTCACGCTGGGTCTGCCGTCCCTCACGTGACCGCCTTCTTTCATTCCCCGCTGATCAACCACTATCTGATCACAAAGCCACCATTTCAGTCACCTGAGACCAGGAGCAAGGGGCGCTGTGAAGGAGGCTTGGGATAGGATGAATAATAACTGGGGTCCGGATTCTATTGGTTTCTTGGAAATTTAGTTAACAGGAGCCTACCACCCAGGCTCTGGTCATCTCTGAGTGTTGTGAGGAAATCCAGTCTCTGCTCTGGAAAGACTGGGGCCCAGAACTCAGCTGAGGTAAATTTGCCAGGATGTGCCATCCCCGGAGGCCTCTCGGCAGGCACCTCTGCCTCAGACACCAACAGCGTAACCAACAGCAGAGGCGCTGTGCCTGACAGGGCCTGTGGGCTGTGAGGGGCCCGGGCAAAGGGTTTCCTCGGAGGCAGACCCTCCCCCTCCTCCCAGGAGCAGTGCTACAGCACATAGAAAATTCTCAGAGTTGGACCCTGAGAAGAGTGAGTAGGAGAGAGGGAGCCAGAGGCAGTTGGGCCCTGGAGCCGCAGCCTGTGCGGATGCCAGAGACATGAGCTCAGGTGCACCGACTGGGCAGAAAGCCCAAGGGAATGAACCACCAGCCCTTACTCTCCATCAGTAATCTTGTCTCAGAATCTCACCATGCCCATGTAATCGTACTTCCACTTCCTCCATGGCCTTGGGCTATTGAGTCAAGAGGGTAAATAAAAGGAAAGACTCTAATATTCTGTCCAGAGATTCGAAATAGCTTAACGGGGCCAGGCAGCAGCGAGGTCAAAGGGCCCTCCATTTGAAAGCTCCAGGGCCATCTGAGAGCCTGTGGGGGCAGCATGCCCAGCACACTGGGCCCCTGAACTCCCAGGTTGAGAGACAAGACCCCCATCGGGGATAAAGGGCTGGGAAGAGCAACCGCCGTGACGTGCAAGGAAGGACCCATTACAGTTGTGGGTCATCTTGATATTAGATAGGGAGAAGACTAAAACTAGTAGCCAATATATTGTTTCTATTTTAATGTTTCATTGTTTCCTCTATTTATTCCTTCGGTGCTTCCCATGGCTTTAATAAGGCTGTGGAGTGAAGTGACTTCAGGAGTCGAGTGGTGAGGCAACAGGTGCCAGGCAAGTTACTCACTGAACCTCTCCTGAGCCTCCACCTCCTCGGCCGTAAAGAGAGGGCGCTCCCCTACCCGACAGGGTGTTGTCAAGGCTGAGACCCGCACGTAGAGAGCTTAGCATAGCGCCTGTGCATGGTAACTGCTCTGTACCTTGTGTGACTATAGGCTATTATGGCTCACTGTAAACTATGAATGCAATCCAGAGGGAAGGAAAATCCATGGAAAAAAAGAGGGAGTGACGTTATGACCTGCCTCAAATTGTCAAATCTCTAATAAAAGTGAGGGCGTGTGGTTGGTGGCACAAGTCTGTCTAGAACCAGGTCTGTCCAGCTCCCAACACTCCCCCTACTCCATCCCAAACTTCAGAACAGGGCCACGGAGAGACAAAGTACCGACTGGGGGGGACCTGTGGGGCCGGCTGGGGTGTTGCTACACTGTTTCTTGATCTGGATGCTGGTTCCACAGGTGTGTTCAGTTTGTAAAAATTCAAGGTGAAAATTCAAGTACACTTTTGTGCGCTGAGCTGTTATATTTCAGTAAAAAGGTTCAAACAAGGGGAACCAGCTCAGGATTTAGTGATACGAATACACTGGGATTAAAGGGTAAGAGGAAGAGAAAGTCTCTCGTTCCACTACTCGTCCAGACAGAAGAGAAGTCGATTGTGGATGACGGGCTCAGCTACGTTAAAGAAGATGCGTGGTTTTCCACTGGCTTTTGATGTGCTGTGACATTTCAAAAATGTAAGTTGTGGGGCCGGCCCGGTGGTGCAGCAGTTAAGTGCGCATGTTCCACTTCGGCGGCCCGGGGTTTACCAGTTCTGATCCCGGGTGTGGACATGGCACCATTTGGCAAGCCATGCTGTGGTAGGCGTCCCACATATAAAACAGAGGAAGATGGGCATGGATGTTAGCTCAGGGCCAGTCTTCCTCAGCAAAAAGAGGAGGATTGGCAGATGTTAGCTCAGGGCTAGTCTTCCTCAAAAAAAAAAAAGAAAAGAAATATAAGTTGTTTCATTAGGATACTGGTTGGGTGGTTTTTATAAACATCTTTCACTTTGTCTCCAATGGTATTGTCACCAATACCAATAAATGGTAACTTAGGTGAGAGAACACTGAAGTTAAAACCTACATTTATCATCTCACCAAAGAACAGTGTAGGAAACCTAATCCATTTTCCAGGTCAGAATTCTGGGCTCCATCTGCCTCTTGCATTTATATGTATCTCCATGAAGCAACCCAATGGGCAAATATTGACTGAGTTCCCATCACATGCCAGACCCTGAATTGGGTGCTGGAGACAGAGTTCGGAGCCTCACTATGGGTGTGAACATAAAGAACAGAAGAGGAATGGGGAAGAATCCACAGGGGAGACAGACGTGTAACAGGTCAATGCAGCGAGAGTGACAGGCACTGAGGTGGGAGGGTGCAGGGGTGCGGTAGGCAGGGTCAAGTCTGCCAGAGAAGTGCAGGGGAGGCCAATGGAGGAGGTGGTACCCAGGCTGAGTCTTCAAAGATGTGCAGGTGTGCCCTAGGCAGACAGGGAGGCCTAGCATTCCAGAAAAAAGAGCAGCTTGAGCA